TTTCAAAAAGTTTAACATAGCTAATCTTAGCCATGACTTTTGAACGAGAAATGATTGGGTGTTCATAGTTCACAGTTACATTGCCTGTTACAAGGCCTTATTAATAGTTTTTTACCCTGTGACCTACATGTAGACCTTGAAGTTTGATCTACTTTCGAAAAATTTAACATTGGTGATAACTTTTGAATGAGAGAAGGTAGGGCGCTCATTTTTGACCTGTGTATAACCTGAAGATCTTTCCGAACATGCTATGATTTTTTATGCCCCGTAATCGAAGATTCGGGGGCATACAGTTTTTGCCCTGTCCGTCTGTCTGTCTATCTGTTTGTCTGAAAAAAAACTTTAACCTTGTCCACAACTTTTGATTGGTTGGAGCTATGGCTTTCACATTTCACATGTGCATTCCTTGTGACAAGACCTTTCTTCTGGTACCATCAAATTTGACCTTTTGACCTTGCAGTTTGACCACTTTTGCTAAATTTTATCAGACTTTAATCTTGGCCATAACTGTTGAATAGTTGGTGCTAGGGCTTTTAAACTTCATATGTGTATACCTTGTGACAAGGCCTTCCTTTGGATACCAGTAACTTTGACCGTTTGACTTTGACCTACTTCTGATAAAACGTTAACCTTGGCCATAACTTTTGAACAGGTGGTGTTAGGGCTTTCATACTTCTCATGTGTATTCCCTGTGACAAGACCTTCTTATGGATACCAACAACTTTGAGTTTGCCCTACTTTTGAAAAACTTTAATCTTGGTCATAACTTTTGAACAATTGGTGCTTGGACTTTCATACTTCAAATGTGTATTCCTTGTGACAAGACCTTCCTTTGGATACCAACAATTTTGGTCCATTGACCTTGGAGTTTGACCTATTAAAAAAAATAATCCTGGCAGTAACATTTGAACATTTGGTTAAAGGGCGTGCATTTTTCACGTAAATGTGTATCACTTGCAACAAGACCTTCCCTTGGGCACCATTTGACCTTGATCTTGATGTTTTACTTACTTTTGAAACACTTTTACCTTCGCTATAACTTTTCAACGGTTGGTGTTAGGGCTTTCATATTTCACAGGTATATTCCTCGCGACAAGACCTTTCTTTCGGTACCTACATTTTTGATATTTTGACCTGGAGTTTGACTTGCATTTGAGAAACTTTAACCATTAGCTGCCATACGGCGGCATCAATGTTTCGCAAACACATCTTGCTACCCCATGATTTTGACCTAATTTTCAAATATGGTGATAACTTTTGAACAAGAGAAGAAAAGACAATCATATTTGACATGTTAATTACCTGTGGCAAGACATTTCCAAATGTACTATGATTTTTAACATCACGACATGGAAATTTGACCTATTTTTCAAACATCATAACATTGATAACTTCTGGATGAAAGAAGAACGGACATTTATCTGTCATGCGCATTACCTGAGACAAGTTCTTTCCAAATGTACTATGACTTTTAACCCCATTACTTTGACGTTGAAGATTGACCCAACTTTCAAAAATTTTAACACTGCTGATAACTTTGAATGAGAGATTATCTTTTCTATTTGACAAGTACGTACATTACCCGTTTTAAGACCTTTCCGAATGTACTCTGGTTTTTTGACCTCATTACCTTGACCTTAAAGTTTAACCTACAGTCTTTTTCAATTTTGTTATGCCCCCGTAATCGAAGATTCGGGGTTATATAGTTTTGCTCTGTCCGTCTGTCTGTCTGTTTGTCCGCAAAAACTTTAACCTTGCCAATAAGTTTTGATTGGTTGAAGCTATGGCGTTCATATTTCACATGTGTATTCCTTGTGACAAGACCTTCCTTTGGGTACCAACATACATTTATTTGACCTCATAACCTTGACCTTGGAGTTTGAATCATTTTTGAAAAATTTACCCAACTTTAACCTTGACCATAACTTTTGAACAGTTCGTGCTAGAACTTTATTATTTCACGTGTGTATTCATCGTGACAAGACCTTTCCATGGGTGTAAATATTTTTGACCTTGACCTTAGAGTCTGACCCACTTCTAAAAAACTTTAACCTTTACCGTAACTTTTGAACAGTAAGTACTAGGGCCTTCAAATTTCACAGGTTGTTCCTTGTGACAAGGTAATCCTTTGTATACCAATGATTTTGACCTTGACCATCGAGTTTGACCTACTTTTGAAAAACTTAAACTTTCGTTATAATTCTTGAACAGTTGATTCTACGGCTTTTATACTCTGAATGTGTATTTCATAAGACAAGGTCTTCCCCTGCGAACCATTAATTTTGATCCTTTGACCTTCACCTCGGAGTTTGGCCCATTTGTAGAAAATATTAACCTTGGCCATAACTTTTGAATGGTTGGTGCTTTGGCCGTCATATTTACCAGGTATATCCATTGACACAAGTCCTTTCTTTGGGTAACAACATTTTTGATCTCTTGACCTTGTAGTTTGATTTGCATTTGAGAAACTTTAAAGTTTGCCATAAGCTACCATACGGGGCATCAGTGTTTCACAAACACATCTTGTTTACATTGGTTATTACTTTGAATGAGATAAGACAGGGTTTTCATATTTTACATGTACATTACCTATGACATCACCTTTCAGAAAGAAATATCATTTTTGCCTTCATGAACCTAAAAGTTTGACCTACTTATCTAAAAATTTTAACTTTGGACATAACTTTTGCTTCATAAGAGACAGAGCATTCTTATTTTTTCACATGTGCATTACTTGTGACAAGACCTTTCGGATTATACGTATTACTATATTTGACCTCATGACCCTGATCTTAAAGTTTGATGCAGTTTTGAGAAGCTTTACTCTTTGCAGTAACTTTTATTAATTAAAAACTTATATCTTTTTTTGTATGATGGACAGGCAAAACAGGACACACAAACAAAACAGTTACAACATGTCAAAAATAATTGCATTCCAAATACAAGACAAAGAAAGTGGCGGACTACAATTCTTTGCATTTGCTTGTTTGTTATTTATTTTTGTCAGAATTCTGAATATTTGTAATTTATTAACACCTCACTTTCTCATATACATGTATATGCAAAATATGGATCAATGTTAAGTATAATACATGGATATATTATATTAACATTGAGATCTTTTTGATGAAAATCGTTGAGTTAAGGTAGAAATCATTTCTTGGTATTTACCTCCAGCCAAAGGTATAAAACAGCATTGATAACAGGAGCATTTGATTCAGCAAAATTCCCGAACATTTATTAAAGAATACTCCATATCTACTTAATCGTTAGGGAAGATTGTGTACTTAGACAGCTGCTTTTAACATATTTACAATTGACAACTAAGGAATCTGGTCTAGCTTTGCTTTTTCAATATTGACATACAATGTACTTTTAAATTTAATTTGGTCATAACGTCAGATTCATCACACATTCATTCCTGAATTCAGAACAATGCAAGTCACTGCAAGACATCAATTTTCCATTTAATATACCCCCCCTTTTTTTAAGAATTAAAATAGAATGTTCTATATAGTTTTTCTCCTTGAACAAGACAAAGAACAAATTGTGTCTGGATAATAACTTGCCAAACCTCAAATGAACTAAATCCCAAATAAATTTTGTTTTTACCATGACCTGAAAGTATATCAAGGACATTTCTAAAAGGCAATGAGACATGTATCAACTATTTTATAAAATAGAAGCCTTAAGGAAGCTCTAAACACTAATGCAAAATGTTTTTTGAACTTTGAGAAAATGTTTATCCTATATAGATGTTCCTATTGTGTTAATTTAGTTTACTTTACAATATATGGTTCATGTACCTGCCATATCTCTAGGAAATAAGTTCAAAGACAATGAAGTGTTAGTGAAAAGAAATCAACGTTGTTTTCTTACATTGAAAAATACATGCAATTATTGTTTCCACACCTTTATCTTGGTCTAATATACTGCTAAGAATACTTTAGTCTATTTCAAATTGAGTCATTTACCACAGATTTCTATTTATTCCATTTTACATTAAAGGGCAGATCACTCTAACTGCATAAAACTATCATGTAATTAAAACTCTTCAATGAGCAGTGTTTAGAGCTTCCTTAATTTGAATGAATTCAAACTTCAGTTTGTTGCTGCCATGACCTGAAGTTGTGACATGACCCTAATTCAAGATTACATCTCAGAATTCTTTATATGTGTTAAATGTGTGTCATTCTCATCATTCAATATTTTAATGATTGCAGAGAGATTAGAGGGGTTGGAAGGGGGGGGGGGGGGAGGGGGCAAACTTAAATATATACTACTTTTATATGCTTGTATAATATGTAAACATTACAATTCTGTCAATTTCTAAAGCAGGTCAAATGTTAATTAATTGGAATAAAGAACTTAAAGGTTTGCTATTGCAAGCAATAGTACATGTCATTCCGAACCGATCCCAACTCTGCAATATTTGAATTGAAAGCAGATTAAGCGTAAATTAGCACAGTATTTTGCAAGATGGCATACTGAACAAAGTCAATACGCAACTGCCAAGTGGCATTAAATTTTTAATTTTAACTCCCAAGAGGAAGAACGAACTGTTACTAGTTAATATATTTGTTCTTCCAATAATACTGGTCAAGCATCACAGTACAGGTAAACTTGTAGTAGAATCATATTACTCCCCTCTGCTTCTGCATGTCAATAATTAAGATGAGCCTGAAACAAGCTATTTCATATTAAAAGCTCTGAAGAATATATCTTGCAGAAGAATACAGATATAATATACAGAAAACAATTACCAGAAATGCTAGTCATTTACCTGTGTTGATGAAACATATGTTAGCTAAGAAGCAAATGACAAGGCTCAACCTTACTTACAACACAAAAACAAGCTCATAAGAGTAATCTGCCCTTTGTTACCAAAATAACCCCAAAAAACTACTTGGTAATAATGCTGATTAATCATGCCATTATTTAAATTTTCAGGAGTGCTTTTTTCAGGTTATATTAAAATAGCACATTAATTTAACAGATGGTTTAAGACCTCTCAGTTCTGTTTAATTACATAGACAAATTAATAATGTCTTTCTTAAAATCAATCAAAAATATAAAATGCAAACACAAATTGTCGTACTAAAGTCTAACTAGTAAAAAACATTCATTGGTAATTTAACATTCCTGAACTTTCAGTACACATGTATATAATGCAACACCCCACCCAAAAATAATCAATGGGAACTGGGAACCTCTCATTACTAATCTATACAGTGGAGTGCAGTTCAATATATATCACCACAGCCAGCACCATGATTATAACTATACAACATAACAACATTGAATTTCAGGCCAATAGAAGACATGAATGCTGGATCTGTTACACTCCTTCACTTCTTTAATCATCACAGAAGTACTTTGTATCCCTGGAACTTGTTTATCCTTCAGATCTGGGTATCAGGTGTTTAGTAGAACTTTTTTGGACTTTGACAGACTGTCTCTTTTTCTAATCCTGCGCACAGCTTCTCGTAAATGCTTGGGTTGTATAGGTCCAGTCTCTTTATTCTTCTCCATAATGTCCAGGGCTACAACAGAAACAAAAATTAACAAACTGAAATAAAACATTCTGTAGTGTACACATCTGATTTAAAGTTAAGAATGATACAAATTGTCTATCTACTGTAAGTGGAAACACTTGTGAAATATAACGTAAAGGAAAAACACAATACCTTGACTAGTATTTTAAATCTTATTTATTGCAAAAAATATATTTATATTGAGACAACATAACAACTCCATCTCCATCTTGGAAAAAAAAATGCCATTGGGAAAAAAAGGCTTATGCACATAAAGCACTGCATACATTATATATATGCATGATAAATATATATAATATACTTTCTAGTGGTTTCCCTTTTAATTTTAACAATGAAGTGAACTGGCAAAATTTAGTTAGTAAAATTTAATATAATGTCACCCTCTAAGACATAGCCCAAGTTCTTATTTGCCCCTGACATGACTTTCACCTGCAAGTCCTGGGGTGAAAAGGAGAAAATATATGGCTGGACCAGAAATCTTGCATCATTTGTCAGGTGCTCTACCAACTGAGCTATCCAGGCCAATATCCACAACCCAAATCATTAACATGTACATCCTTATTAATGAAATATGCTAATCTAATAAACTGTTCTCCAGATTATAGATTTTTTTTATCATTGAGTACATGTATATATGCTAATAGCAGCTAAACACAACTATTACAGCTAACGACTACAGGAATACATTGTAATAATATGTTATATGTTATACCTTTATATGGTTGATATAGAGGGCTATTCTTACCTTCTTCCACTACCTCTCCAACAAAGACTTTAGCAATTCCAGCCATTGCTATGACAACATTATGAGACACACTGGTCCTAGTTATGGACTGCATCAACTGTTAATGAGCAAAGGAAGTATAACACTGTACCAAAAATGTGAATTATTGGTAAACTCCAATTATACAAAGGAAGTATAACACTGTACCAAAATGTGAATTATTGGTAAACTCCAATTATACAAAGGAAGTATAACACTGTACCAAAATGTGAATTATTGGTAAACTCCAATTATACAAAGGAAGTATAACACTGTACCAAAATGTGAATTACTGGTAAACTCCAATTATACAAAGGAAGTATAACACTGTACCAAAATGTGAATTATTGGTAAACTCCAATTATACAAAGGAAGTATAACACTGTACCAAAATGTGAATTATTGGTAAACTCCAATTATACAAAGGAAGTATAAAACTGTACCAAAATGTGAATTATTGGTAAACTCCAATTATACAAAGGAAGTATAACACTGTACCAAAATGTGAATTATTGGTAAACTCAGATTATACAAATTCCTTAGAAAATGTGTCTGGTCTATAATGAAACAAAGATATTCTAAGAGGGATTATCTACAGGGTGTACACAGCCATCAAGTCAGTTATTGTTTTGCTCATATTATGAGACCCTATTATGACCATAAATGAATGATGCACAGAGAAAATGGAATGACAAACACTAAAAGAATAAATGATATTTACTGTTTTTTTCTTACAAGCACAATTAAACAAAAATTGAAATAAATGAGTTCTGAGTTTTTTCACCCTACACCTACAAAAAAAACTTGATTTCTAGCTGCTTATACATGTATATACCTTTTAAAGTGATTACAGTAAGAATATTACAAGATTTATCCAAGTGTATATCATTTTTTTTTTATGTAACATGACTAAGAGAGATAATTCTTTCCACCTTGTCTTACGTTATTAAAAGCTGTTTACCCTTTTGATTGCGGCCCTTGGAAAAGCAGCTCGTCGAAACATCTCATATCTGTTCAGTTGTTCCTCTGTAAAATTGGACACCAGAACTCTACAGAAGAAAGTAAAATAAAGACTTTAATGCACATATTATCAGATTGTTGCACCTTTAAAAATTGGTTCCTATATAAATCTGTACTAAAAAAATCTAAAAAATTTCCAATGTTTTACTAAGTGATCATAAAAAATCAATGTTTGACCGCAGAGTGAGACATTGGACCTGTCGATGAGATACTGGACCACTCATGTCACACTGTGGAAGGGATCAGCTAAATCTTAGGTGAATTGACCGAGTTTTTCCGCAGAACAGGTAAAGAAATTTTCATCATGGAAGCCAGTAAAAAAATAAATACATAAAAGTTGTAACAAAACATTTATTGACTGTGTTCACGGGCAAATGCGTTTTTGTGGACCCCTTGACACCAAACAGTTTGGTTTTTGGGTCAGACAAAATGCATGTTGTCCTTGAACCCAGTCAATAATGTATAAGATACTTCACTGAAATTTAGTGTTACATGTAAAAAGTTTGAAAAATGCAAAAATATCTGATTTAAGCAAAATAAATGAGTATATGTAAATGCATATTGTAAATATTGCAATTGCTATTAGGCAAAGAAAATCAGAAACAAAAGTGGAAAGTGGTAGAAAACCAACCACATGTCAGATAATATTGAAAAATGAAAGAAGATGGCTATATATCAAGTTTATCTTCGTCATCATTGGCAACCCTACATCTTTTACCCAATTTTGCACCTATTGTTGATAAAAATTTGATAGGCCTCTCATTGGCCATGGTACAAGTAGTTTCATTTTATTAAGCCTCAATCCGGTATAAGTATTACATAATCACATTTTTTTTAATATGAAAATTCTGTTGAAAAACATATCAATGCTTAAAAAACCCCCAAAATACATGCAAGTCATTTGGACTGACAGCCATGACATTTTTACCAATCACAAGCATATTAAATTGGTCTTGCCAGCATGCCCAGCAGTTTTACATATCTGGTGAACTTCTGAGAAGTTCTGAACAATGTAGAGAGAGAATCTTCAAATTTACCTTTCCTTCAGGAATAAAAGAAGTGCTGATTTTTAACAAAACGCTTTTAAGCTACCATTTATCTACATGCAATTTCTAAATAAGTTAGATAAGTTTATCTTATTTTTGAACTCTTACTTGGTTATTACAAAAACATATTTTGTGAAGCCATATGCAATCTATTTGATCAATGTTTAGTAGTTTGAATTTTCTCTTTGCCCAGGCATTGTTGTAAGAGCTTGCTGGCTTGCTGTGCTAGATATTAAAGAAAGGAACTGTATTTGTCCTTTCACCATTGGACATATTTTAAATTTGCATCTTTCGAGCTAATCAGATATTTTTCTGAATCTAATTCCTGCCTTTGTACCTTAATTGACATGTTAAGGGGAGAGTCATAGCGAATGCCATACTGAAAAGCATGCTCAGCCACACAACCTGAAGTCCAGTCTTTGACAACTTTAGTTTGCTGTCCTAACTTTGAGACGTGAGAATTCAGTAATTAGATGTATATACTAAAAGGTTTATTATGAGTAATACAAAGCTTCTATGTTAAAAAGTCCTGTATGTATATGTACTTAAAATGCAAAATATTTAAATTAGCATGAATAAAAATGTGATTTATTTTAATCTTCATCAAAGAATTTAACCAAATCTGGAAGGATTAGTAGTACTTCAAATAATGGCTTTATAGTAGGTAGGAAAGATGCAGCACAGCTGTTATCTCTGAATTCCCAATTTGTTGTATGGTGTCTGCTCTGACTCTTCAGCACACATCATAATATAAATATGGTGGTTATTATAATAGCCAGCACAGCAAGCTCAATAGGCTAGCATGTAAGAACAGAGAATGTTAATTATTATAATAGAATCTGCATATTTGTCAAGCAAATTTTTCTGTCAAACCTTCCCAGAATTGCTTTGCTACTAGGATTCTATGTGATAATGGTGAATAAACAGTCTTGCAGTTTAGTATCATGTATTAAGATTTAGTTCTTGCAGAGAGCTTAAATTAAATGAACCAAAAGTAATTGCATCTACTCTACAATGCTGTTCGTTACAAAATTGTAAAGGAAGCCGCCTATTTAGACTCAGTTCTGGAAATGTAACTTACATGCGACTTCATGTGACATCACAGTCTAGACTGTCTTGTGCAGTTTTAAGTTTGAAGAGGTGGATCAATGTTTAAAGTGTAAACTACGTAAACAGGTCCAGTACAATCTCTTGATTTAGCTATATAGCTTGAAAAAGCTATATAGCTTTATGAAGCTATTCAGAATAGCTTGATTTAGCTATTTTATCACACTTTTTTCTTAAATGTGTTATTTTCTCAGCATGCACAAAAAGTCGCACCTTGGTGCAGTGATAATATTCAACCTTGAACTCTTCTGAAAATAATGCACGTAAAAAACACTCATCAAATTACATCTCCTTAAGAGACTTTGTACTCAAAGTTCTAAAAGTTTTGGGGCTATATAAAGCAATTGATACAGTTACTTCTTCACTGAAATTATAAAAGAGGCCAACTATGGTCAACAAGATAATTGATTGGTAATAATTCAGTACAATGAGAAGCAATCATACTTATCCACGCCTCAACACACACAAGGTGGTGTACAGTTACTCAAACAAAAGAAATTCATCTTTTGCTTAAAAGTATTCAAATGCTACAATGTTAGAACTATCTCTGATTTCAGTTGTTGTTTTGATAGCTCATTGTACATATATGAATAGTCAAATACTTGCGACTTTTTGTTTATTTCTTACAAAACACATTTTCTGAAAAACTGCACATAAATAGCTTTATCAAGCTATTTTGAATAGTTTAATAAAGCTATATAGCTTTTTCAAGCTATATAGCTAAATCAAGAGATTGTGCTGGACCTGGTAAAGGTTTCTCATGGTATACAACTGCACTCGCCCCAACCGTGGCACCGTAAAATGTATAGTTGAGCACAGCAAACAGCACATAGGACCGTTCAACACTGTGAGCTCTTACGACAACATCTACCATATCAATGTGACAGCATGGTATTAGCGAGCGCAGCGAGCGGCGCAAAGCGCCGCTCGTCACTGCGAGCTCTAACGACAACGCCTGGGCGAAGAGAAAATTCGGACTACTGCACATTCATTCAATAGAATTTTTTTCCGCAGTAATTCTGACCCACAATGCATCGCTTCTTGTTCTTGCTGCTAACTTCACTCACGCGGTAACAACAACTAAGATTTCACAAAAAATAAACTCACCTTAATTTGATGGATATTGCATGCAGATAGTAGATTAAACGTTCTTTGTTAAAATATGTGCACTTTTTAAACTTTGTTTATGGAAATGCAGCTAACATACGTCATGTGACGTCACAGTCTAGACGTTCCAAATGTCTCGTGCGGTTTGAAGAGGCGGATCTTAAAATGAAGTGAACAATGCGCTCGCCCCAACGGTCGCACCGTCAACATATTAGTGATGATTAATTTGTTTAAGAATAATTCCTTTACCGAATGATAACATTTCTAATACCCCCATGCTATACAGTACCAATAAAATACCACAGGTTCTATGAATAACATAACTACTAACTGCATTTTTAGTCTTTCTTCCTCTTGTTTTTCCCGTTTGTGCTTATATGCTTTTATTTCTGCCTCACTAGGTTCATATTTCCTTTTTTTCTCTGACGAGTCTTGTTTGCTGCTCGGTGACACACTTGATGTGGAAGGTTCCGAAGAGCTCCTCTCATTGTCTGTTGAAGAGTCTTTCTTTGAACTTTTTACAGGGCTTTTTTCTGTCTCACTGAGATTCTGTGCTGTTTCTTTTTCGCTGTTTTGTTTTTCTAAAAGCGATGTAGACGCCATGTTGCATAATCAATGTTTAATAAACGCTCTAAAATTCCAACTTATCTTGCACTATAAAAAAAGCGTTTACGTGACTATTTCTTGCTAAACATAAAAGACTAATTAATATCATAATTTAATTACAGTATATATTTATAATGATCTGAATAATTAGTCTTTTACAAAAATATTCACAGAAAAAACTTCAAAAAGAATGTTCTTAACTGATGTAAACTTCTTCTTTCGTTTCAAAAGAAAAGTGACTGCGCAGGAATATACAAATTATATGTAAACAAATCATATTTCGAGGTTAATGTAGATATTTGAAGTTAAAAAGAAAACATCTAATATTTTTTTAACTATTTTCAAACTTTTTTATCTTTACTTGAGGTGGGAGTAAATAAATGCTATTTTAATATGGAACTATTTTATGACCTTATCTTTTTCTCTGTGCGCATTTATTTATTTCCGGCTGGACACTTAGATTTTTTTACCTGCTGAAAAGGAGACTTGAGACTGTTGATGTTACCATACCTTATGTGCTTTTTATTTAACCGCTGCAATTTGGAGACTCAAGAATAAACTCCTTAAGGCCAGGGTAAGTTATTTACTCTTCCTACTGTTTGATGTCTACATGAAAAGACACAAGGATGCTTATAGTGGCAAAAGCCTAGAAATCTGAAGAAAAGTGTTCTTTTTATTTTCTTTTAGTCTTAAGATTTTTTTTTTGAGACAATGACATCTAACGCTATAAACACTACACAAAATCACAATTTATTTTCTTTTTACTGGACTTATCTAATTCACTGGTTTGTGATGTTTAGGGGTCATTGTTGAGACCCTGTACAGTCATACTACAAGAACTAATCATAATGAAAATGTCACAGGAAGATTTTAGTAAATTACTTTTCAATTTTTAAAAACTCTGTGGAGTAAACCATTCATTATATTTAAAGATATAAGACCTTGTCTTTTCATTGTTTAATTTGGATTGAAACCATATTGGAGCCTGCATATAACAATTATGCATGTAAAACTAGTCTACACTACAAATGATATTTTCTTCAGCTGTTTAACAATATGTGTTAATATGAGTGAATGTCAGTTTATTTATGTATGAAATTTACTGTACGACACTGTCATCTGGAATCATGACATAGCAGTATTAAAAGTGACATTGAGTCACAGAGATGGATTACCATGTTACAGCTGTTGAACTTCAGTTTTATACTGTTAAAAGTACATGGTAGTATTTATTATCTTAGATATAAATAGAGCTGATGTGGTAATTTAGTATTCTTTTTTGGCTATTTAATAAGGGTTGTCAGTCAAACTTTGCGTGTCATTGCCGATATGGGTCACTGGTGTAGTTGTTCTTGTGCTGTAGTCTGACTTGAAGATTTGATGATATTTAGTTTTCACATGCTCTGGTTCATCTGCGTTAATGTTCAAGACGTCGAGGAATTAAACATCTTGTTTGCAAGTCTTAAGTTTTTGATGTGACTATTTGAAACTTTGAGGTAAATGTAATGATAATTCTGACTGTTGAGTAGTTACTTAGATTTAGAATAATGCTTAATATAAATATATTTATTTTAGAATGGAAATATCTAACAAACAAGACATTTCAAACAATTTTTTAAAGATACCTTGTAGCTTTCAAACATAGCTGTATTACCTTAATCAGGAAAGATCTTCAATATTTTTGGAAATTAACCAGAATTTTTAAGTGGGAAATGGAATGTATTACTTTTAGGGGTGAAAAACATTGAATTAATAAGTAATTTGGTCAACACTCGGGGGAAAAGCCTTTTGAATGTCATGGCCTGAATAATTTGTAAACCTTCCAAGTTGTAAATTGCTAGCATTAATTTTATGATATATGTATAATCATAAATTGTTTATGTATAGTACGTATAGGAACCTCTACCAGCAGTGCATTGTCTGTTGAACTCGCGTCCAGAAGCAATTATTGTTAATAGCATACATGTACTCAAATGCAGTAGGTTTATAAAACTCAGACAACATCCTCTCCTAAGCTTGAAACAATTCTTTAATTAAAGGACAAGATTATTTCAGATTCATGTATCATTTTATGCCAGTAGTTGTTATTTAGAAAAACAGGTCAGCTAAAATTATTAATTCTGAGATGCCATTTATACAGATAGACATGCATATGAATTATTTATATATTGCCTTTATTCTCTCTCATCTATGACAAGTGGTTTTCTTAATATTGCACATAATTGTGCAAAATAGGTTATTCTAATTTGATGACATTATGAACATGAAAAAATTGGAATTCATTTTTGTTACGTAGTGTTAAATTTAATTGATAAAGCCATTTACATTGATTAAAAATTTCTTTTCATTAAATTACTGCTACTTAGTTCCAACCACGAGTTATATTACCTGTGTAACTATATTGCCTTCTCTGATTTCTAAGATTACTTAATTTCCGGTTGATTTTTTGATGCCAAAATTTTTAAATGGGGTTTTGAAAGCAAATACTTTAAAAAAGACTGAAGTTTTATATGGGTGGATTTTCCGCCGGTGCGTGAAGACAGGAGGAAGTCATTGTTGACATTTGACTCTTCCATGTGCTGTCTTTATTGACTTATATACCTTAATACAGTATTTATAGATCCCCAAATAAGTTGATGATTAGATAGAGATGAATCAATATAAAGCGATAAGTACACAGTCACATGACTAACTCATCCAGCAAACTCTGTCACATGAAATCCCCCAACGTTTATAGGTAGATGAGGGACGGAGGAGACACAAGGACAATTTGGCATTGGGATTTAGAGGAGGACAGGCATGCATGGGTAACAATGTGGTATGTACAGATTCTGTCAGCTTGTTTTTTTTTCCCTTTTAGAAGAACTGTAAAAGAAGGGGAGGGTGTCTTTTCTTTCTTACCTGCATTGTATAGGGCAGGTAAAGTAATTTTTACACCTTAAAGGTAATTATGATTTACGTTGCTGCAATTTCTTTTAAACTTAAGCTTTTAAAGTTTTTTCAGCAGAAATTTAAAGCAAATGTTTTCTTTTTCTTGAAAGCATTTTAAATATAAATGAACATGCTGAAGTGGCTACAGTGTAATTCAGTGCAGCATTGTAAAACAAGATTTTCAACCTCTTGAAATGTTTAGAAGTTCAAGTTTGCAATATTTTTAGATTTTGAGGAAGATTTATTCTCCAAACTGTAAAAATCTTAAGGAAAATATGTTACTGTCTTTTGAAATTGAATGTGTATTTAAACTGACATTAGACCTTTGTAGTAGCAGGTATGAGTGTTAAAAGTAAAAGAAAGTCAGTGTTGTTATTAAAGCCTTTGATACTTGTGTATTAAATGTAGACAAGTGAAATCAGATTAGAAAGTGATATAACAACATTGTCTACACACATTTAGATAGTATCTCGTCTGTTGCACAACACCACCAGGTTCATATCCTAAGGCTTAGGGCAGGTGGTACTAAGCTAGTGTTGTGCCAATTAGGGACCCATAAAATGGGCATCTCACTGCTCTACTGGTCATCCATCACCCCCCCAAAAGCCAACACTGTTTGATTTTTACTTAGTGACCACTTCTTGAAAGGACCTTATAAAGAATTGTGTCACCTTGATCAAACTATACATGCAAGATCTAAGGTTCATTTATGATCAGATGCATTATGGCCCTTAGGGCTCATGTCTCATTTATGTTACGATCATGTTCGGAAATCGCCTTGTGCTCATCATGACCAATTATAGACAAAATACACAAAGAATTGGTAGTCATCTGTCATTATGGGTTAGGGAATACACAAGCTCATGGGAAGGGTCAGGGGAAACATTGATGATATCGGAGTTATGGAGAAAAGACTAGCTCGACTAGAAGCACTGATCAGGCTCTCTACATCAGATCAGGTACAATATTGTAATACATGGGGCAATTTCCTAACCTCTTCTTGTGGATTGAGGGGTGTCAGGGTTGGGAAGGGTGCCAACAGCAAAATGAATGGCTCTCCCATGTACCTGTGGCGTGTTGGTTTATGATGAGAATGATGCCTCAATGTATGTCAAAGTAGCACATTCATATGTTGGGCAATGTTTATATTACCTGTTAATCATATTTCAGTTTGTCTTGATTCCAGAAGTTTATCTTAACACTTTTAAATGAAATATGAAGATACTTTTTGATACTTTTAAAATAAGAACAATTTTTTGCTCACAATTTTTTGACACAATTAGACCAGAAAAAAATAGTGTTGGGGAGAATTTGTAGTTATTAATTTTTTTTCCTGCTCATGAAATATAATTCAATGGACTTTTTTTTGTGTGGAGGAAGAGTAAGAGGGCAGATTTTTAACATGGAAGGAAGTAGTTATTTTTAAGTTTGGTTTTGTGATGAGGTTTAAGACTGACACTGTGCAGTGTAGTGGGATTCTAAATCAGATTTCCTGCTTCTGTTTTATTAATCCAGTGATATTCTCAGGACTCGGTACAGCTGCATTCTTCACTTCAAACAAAATAATTACAAGGTATTCATTCCTGTACTTCCTTGCTGAATTCAAGTCAGTTTTCCTATTTGTTGGAATTTTTTTTATTGAAGGGATGAGTCTATATATACAAGTGCTATAAAGTGTTATTTCATTTTTAATTACAACATTTATGACATCAAGACTATTGTAAACATCAGGAACAGGTTATGTTAAACTGAGATTTCCAAACAATGTACATAATTAAACAAGATAAATTTAATTCAAGCAAGTCAGAAACTGTAAATACATTTTATTTGGCTGTGTGGGATTATTTAGAGGAATTTTTTTTTTCCAATTAACAAATTAGCATTCTGAATGTGCTTTATATAAATTTTTATACACAAGACATTTAATAGCGATGTACTTGATTTAGTGAAAGCTGCTTTCTGCAAAAGACACTATAAAATACACAGTCAGCTTCAAATGTAATAGTTATTTACAGTATTCATAGTATTTATGGAAGGAAAGAGAGAGGAATTTGGAGCCCAGAGAAGGGGCTTTCCCTTTGTTCAGTGGTCATTAACCTCAAGCCTAGATTGGAATTCTAGTTTGTTAAAGAGGGTTTTGGAATACATTTATCATATATAAATTATATTATGAAAATATTCTTTGACTGCAGTATTGAATGCGCAGGCCACAGCACATGTACAGTATGGTTACAAGGAATCCACCCAAAGGAGGTGATAGATGGTTTAGAATTAGTGTTCATAAGTTGATAGGTTTTCTGTACGAGTTAGGTCACAAGGGCACTGTAGCTATAAACAGAGGGGGATAGGGGCATGAAAGCTAATATGTTGCACCTTTTGCTCAAGTGCTGCTGGTGTATGATGGTTGTACATGAATTGTGAAGGCAGTCTCCATTCAAATACCTATCTTGAGTCAGCTTGTATACGAAAACTTTTATGAATTGTGAAGTCAGTTTCCATTTAATGTGAGATACATAGAAATACATGCAGTGCCAAATTGTTTGATCAGCTGATATATATTTTTAGCTGGTGGTTAATTTTCAATCAGGTTTGAGTGATCAGGCATGAAATAGTGGTATTTGTGGGGGGAGGAAGTCAGATGCCATTGATAACCTTCATGCTTTGATGAACCCTCATTTTGCAATATTGTAGAAGGTTGGAAAAAGTAAGTCGTGGGATCTATTTTTAGATCATCACAATAAACAAAGATTGTGTACAAGAAACATCATCTTAATATATGAAATCTACACCTATGAATATATAATGAATCTATGTATAAATTCTTAAAATATTTTCTTGTTAGTTACAATTTATTTTCTACATGACCTCATGAATATTTCATGTAAAATCAAGGAATGAAATATATTACTTGTTTGTATGAACAATTGTATCATGTTCCTGAAGATTTATAAGTATCTTTACTACTATGTTTTAAATATATTCTTGTGTTAATCTCAAGCACTGCTGACAAATTATAATAGTTTATGAATCATGTGTTTTGCAGTTTTAAAAAAGAATGAACTGTAATTTGCACATGTATTTGTAGTCACTAAGTAGGAAAGAAAAATGGAGGAAACAGCTGAAACTATAATTGAGTTGAAATGACATAATACTAATTAGAAGGTCTTTTGAAGGAATCATTTTTCATGCTTGACAATGTTAGGAGGTATTGCTTTACCATGTTGTATTGGAAACACCCTAAAACTGCTGTTTTGGTGTATACATTTTAAGGGTTTTGTTCTTGAGTGATTTCACCTTTGATCTAAGTTTAAATATTGACTTGTTTGATTCATTTTCAGTTTGAATATATTTATATCTTTTTGGACCATGTCCACATTTGCATTGTGTTTTACACGAGTTGAGATAAAAGTTCCAAACCCTTTTAAGTCAAAGGAGGTAGAAACTTTTTAACCCAGTTCTTGATCATAATAAAGCAGAGCAACCTTTCATAATACATTCTTCACGAGTAGCAATATTGTAGCCCTGGCGTTTGTTTGTGAATTAATTTTGGGAACCATAAACCTGACATTATATGACTGTAGCGGGTATCTCTCTGGTTTTGTTATAAATCTTGAAATTTGAAGTCGGCATAAAATAAATATTTGAATGCAGTGTGTTATCTGAGACGTCAGAAAGGCCCCACATTTATAGAGAGAACAAAATAGTATCTGATATTAGAATCTTTCTTGGTCACATTTTGTTCCATATTTTCACACTGTAATCGTAAAAAATGTATGCACCTGGAATTGATTTTTTTTATGATAACTTATTAGCAATTAGACCATAATATGTGAATTATTGTTAAGGTTCAAGACCGTCCAAGACCTCAGCAAGAGTACTTGTATGTAGAATGTATTAATTCTGTACATGTATGTTGAAAATGACATCAGTGAAAAGTATTTGTGGATGGTTTTCAGGTTGCACATTTTGAATAAGAATGTACACCCATACACTTTCTGCATTTATTTTCCTCTTTTACCACACATAGTGTAACATACATAACACACATTGAATAATCAGTTGATGAACACATCACTGAAATTGTGCACCGTTTTCTTCATATTAAAAAAAATGTAGGTATTGTAGCTAGTGTATAAATATATGTATAACCTCTGTTCCACAGAATGGAGTGTATATATGTGTACATAAATATGTTTATATTGACTTTTTTCTGTACCTTTGCAGAGTCGCCGCTCCAAAATGGCCACTGTCGGAGAACAGACCCCCATTGTGAGCAATCACACCAAGGATAAAGCCACCAAGGCCAAGGTCACACTAGAAAACTACTACTCCAACCTGGTGGCACAGCATGAGGAGCGGGAGAATAGGTAGGTCAAGGTCACAGGTAAATGATCAAAATGTAGGCTAGCAATCCCAGGGGAGATAGCACAGTGTAAGCCTAATTGTATTAATATTATCTTGGCTTTGACCTTAAGTTTATTAAGTTTATTATTTTGGCATACAGTTTTGTGGCTTGTGCATTGACCAAATACAATGAATTATTGAAAGATAATAGATGTCTGTTGATGTCTGGATATTACATGTTATTACTCGGATGAAACACCATTTTCATGATATTTTTATTATGCTTTAAAATATATAAAAAAGTTATCCATTGATTTATAATTCTTCATTGTCAGTTAGCATCTTTAATTGGAATGGATTGCTTTCCTCTTGTTTTTGATTTTTTCACCTTTTTTCTTTTGAACCAGGGCAAATCTTGACTATAACTCCTTCTCTGTATTGATCACTACAGTGTTTAGGCAACAGCTGTGTGAAGCATGTATACAGTTCACAAAAGCTGTAAAAAAAGACAATTTACATAGAGTGGAAGAACTCTGAAGCATTTAAACATGAGATTCAATTACGGAAAAAGTATGGTACATATTGCATTCTGGTCAATAAACCACTGATGTACCGGCAATCAGGCTTCCTATTATCATACAATTACTGAGGGGTGTAGTACATTGATAACAGGAACTATACAAATGCATTAAGTAATCGCAGGTCATTTCTATTGATAAACATGTACATGTGTAGAAAGTACAAAGTATTTTACAGGTTTTGCCAAATTTCCATACAGCACAGTCATGTAACAAAGCACTGATTTGAAATATAGATTTGCAAAAAAAAACTGTATTCACATTGAATGCAGAAAATCAAAAGTATTAAAGTGCAGTTTGATTAATACATCCCAGGACATTGATTTTTTTTAGAAGCATTTTATATTAAGAAATTAATGGATTGGGGTTGCCATTACAAATACCCTTGAAAAAAAAAGTGTCCTAAAATTTCCTTTTGATTTTGAATTATTCATTATAAAATCACTATACTGTAGTGAATAGAGAGGAAATCATAAAGGTTGTCATAAACAAAAGAGAAGGAGTCCTATCAACCCAAAACACAATGATACACAAAAAGAAAGCAAAGGGCAACAGCTTAACTAGAATTTTCTTTATTATTGCTTAAGTGTGGATTAAAACTTTATATGTGAATACATATATGATCATAATTTGCCTTATGGTTTTCTTAACCTACAGATTCACTGTAGTGTGTTGACAAAGACTGAAATATAAATGACACATTTCTGAAAAGCTTCTTATTGTGGACTTAGTGTAATCAGTCCGTCATCAAATTCTTAGAGATTTTACTTACTAGTATATATAAATATGCTGAGGATCTTCTTATATTAAATCTTTAAACAAACTTATAATAGTATAAAGTTATTATTTCTTATTATTTCCCCAAATCTGCCTTTTCTTATTTTTTTTGTCAACAGGTGATTTCTGAAAAACTTCCTAATTTTTATAGGGACTTGGGTAATGTGATCAGAAAATATTAAGCTTGTTTGCTTTGTAAATAACACTCCACCCAAAATGATTTGCAGATCTATTATCAAGGGTCAGTGTGCAGCTTTCCTACCCCTTGTTTATCGTTAGGTTGTTTGGGACATGATTGAATGCAGATGTTGGAAAAATCACTGATATTGGTGGCAATAAGATAAAGTGTCTTCCAGCCACCCATATATTATGCCACAAAATTATGGAATGAATTTATGTTTATTAAGTATGAAGTATGGTAAAGTTTAAGTTTTAAATATAAACTTTTTAAATTTCTGATTATTAGAGTTTTATGGTTTGCACTCCGAATTAGCGGTCATGGAAGTTTGATGATATATTGACTTATAAGTATTGAGTCATTAAAACTCTGCTTTTTAACTGTATTGAGCAGTTCTTTTGACTAATACCCGGGACTTTAAAATCAAGGCTCCCTATGTTTATGAATACTTTATGGCATGCAATTTAATTATCACGGGGAAAAAAAATCAATTCTGATTAGGACAAAAGAAGAACATGCTTGCGCAATATACGAAGTCAAACAGCTGTGTAAGCACTATGTATTGTGTTGGAAATGATCTTTGTTTAGGAATCATGTATTGAATATATATAGATCTATATTCACTGTTCTGTTATCTAAGCGTACAAAGTTTTTATACTTGGTTTTAAAAATCTTTCGTGTCTTGCTTATTGATTTATTGTTTATTTTAATTAAATATTATATCATGACTGAATGAAATAGTAAAATGTTTTGTCCATTGAACACTTCAGCATTTTACATGTATGTCATTGTGGATTTGCTACAATCAAAATTCTTAGCCCTTTTAGATGAGTAATTTTTTAATGGATTGCGTCCCTTCATCAAATTGAAAAGTAATCTGTGTTCAGTTCTGTTGAGTTACATAGTCTCATTGACTTTAAAAAAATCACTGAGAACTACAAGTAGTTAAATATGAAAAATAACCAGGTTACTTTTTTGTTGTCCGTCCCATGGTACTATCTTCATAATTTTTGCATCACGTTTTGATACATAAATACTTTGTGCTTCAAACTAGGCAGAAAGAGTATTTTACTGAACTTCTGGTATGAAATGATCCCTTGAATTCATTGTATAGTGTATGCATGGACACAGTAGAAAATTTAAAGTCTTTTTGAGGATAAACATTTCAAAAATGGCCTCTCTTCATTTATTGTGATTTTCCATTGCTTTGCCCATCAGAGAAGTAATGATCGATGTAGTACATGATTGGAATCAATTTGAAGGATACAATTATATAATCTCTTGTAATAATGACTACTCCCTCATACTTTGCAGTAGTTTAACTTATTATTATAAATTAAAACTTTTATTACTAAAGTGAACTTTACACAGTAAATTTCAGTACATTTTGAAAAATCATGTCATACCAGTACTTGTTTGTTTCAAGTTGAATGCTCAAATTTGACAAAAAATTTTGATTGAAACTCTAAAGAAACACAGTGAGTTTGGGGTAATTGCATAATTGTCTATTACAATATTTATACAATAAATCAAAAGATTTAGTAAAAATATAAGTATAGCCAAATTTTGACAAACTCAGCTGCATCATTAAGCAAGCAATGAGTGCAATATTTAAGTGACAGAAAACAAAGGTTGCTTCAAACACTTTGTTGTTTTTATCTATGTCAATTCATGCAACTTTTATTTATAGTGTAAATTTCGTATTCAACATTAAAGCAGAGCATGGGAAGGAAAAAAAAAATTTCTGATAATCCTTTTCAAAGATTCTGCCATAGTCCTCCATCTACCAAAATATTACTTATTGGGACTTCTTTTCTATGCACACATAAAATCAGGAGAGAGAGGAGAGAAGCAGTATTTTTGTTCTGGGCCAGACAATAATTATATTTTTTCCCGAAAATACTAGCTATTTTAGTCTCTGAAACCTGCAATTTTATGAAATCTAGCACTTTCAACAATTAAAAAAAGTTGCCTAAACCATATGCCCCCCCCCCCCCCCCCAAAAAAAAATATCTTCAAATTTCCCATTTTATGTCAATATGCCTCTTTAATGTTTTACTTTTACAATATTTTCCTGCAAGAAAATAAAGGTACAATTTATTTGCAGTAAATCCAATTTATTTTTAAAACCCACAGGGTATATAGTGATGAAGGTGTCCATCTCTCTGTCCCTTACAATGGGGGGGGGTACTCATCTCTGACCTGCAACTTCTCCTATACCCAGGGTTGTCCCTAAGAACTAAAACAGTAGGGGACATTTAAAAAGTAGAGGGGGGTCTGGGGTTCCTCCATTAACAGGGTGATGAGGGAGAATACCAGAGTAACCAAGGTATTACATCATAATAGGCTGGGAAATTCCCCAGCCCCCCGGGTCTAAGGGACAACCCTGTACACCACTGGAAAAAAAAATGAAAGAGACTTTTCTAGAATTTTTATAACTAGTGCCTTTGTGACCTCCTATTTCACCTTTTGATCAGACAGATATTTGGGCTTTCCCATAGCAAAACATGGGCTTTGCCATTATACTCATATGGGAGCGGTAGGTATCATTTTAATATGAGCTCTCTGCTCACAATATACCTCTAGTTTCAAAGAGCATTTGTTGAAATTTACCAAATAAAAATGAAATGAGTTGTTAAATTAACTTTTGTTTTGCCCCTTTTCTCATGCACCTAGACATTGCACTACACAGATATACAGTCAAACCTTGTTATCTCAAACTCGAAGGACCAAGATTAAACTTTGAGATCTCGATGATCTGAGATAACCATAAGGGTTAAAAAAAACATAAAAGAAAAAGTGCTTTGGACTGCACACTCACTTTGACAAATTCCTAGTATTCAAGTTATCAGATAACAGAGTTCCACTGTATATTCTGAATCAATAAATCAAAGATCAATCTGTTTGTTGGAATATGCAGAAAAAAAATATCTTACCCTTTTAAGTACTGAATGACTTTTAAGTCATTAACCCATAACTAACAGGGTAGCTGCTGTTCCATAGAATAATGACATTGTTATTGAACAAATAAGAGTGATAGTTTTAGTGGAGTGTCATTACATAATGAATTGTCTCTTATACCTGTGTAGATTGAAGCTGTTATTAAATGCTGGGTTTTCTCTTTACAGATATCGCCTTTTGGAGCAGTCAATGAACACAGATGGCCTCTCAGAGGAACAGGTAAAAAAAACTGAAAATCAGGAAAAAAAAAATCACCACCTCCCGTGATTCATGTTTCACCATACAGATAATTACAGTCTGTTGTTCTTGGCATACTGTTGTGTTTTGTTTAGTGCTGGGGGGACCATACCTGCAGAATTTTTGTTGGGGGGATGGCGTTTGTTTATGGTGTCATCTGTTGGACCAATACAGGATATTTGTGAAGAACACACTTGATAAATACAAATAGTGTGTGTGTGTATTGACTTTAAAGGTTTCCTGATGGGATGGTATTTATAGGGTCGATGACTCCATGCTGTATCAAGGTCATTTAAGTTAAAGGTCATGAACTTACAAGATGACAGCTCTCTGTGGTTAATTGATTACAACACCCTCAGAAGAGCAAACAATTTCAAGAGAAATTCTTGTGTTGTCAAAAGAGATAAGTTATTTTACACACAGAGTTTTCTATTCACCACATTTTTAAAGATGGAAAATCCATTTTAGGAAGGATATGTGTACTTAACCCAGCAGGAAAGACTCTGATTTTACCCGTGAATAGATCTGATTTTTCCCAGAAGTCTGCTTTTAATTGTCATAAAAATACAGAATAAACAGATGATGTCCATCCCAGTCAATGGTTTAATGTTTTGTCATTAACATTATGTGAAATTGCTGACTCATTCCTCTCATTAAAATGTGTAGGGTCAATGGGCAAATCCTCTTTAGATTAATTAATTTTGTTCAGATACACGAAGTCACTACTAAATACTGATCGCTACTTATCCATTGTGATATGTATGTATTAACACGACAGCAGTGAATCAGCAGAAGTAAATAAAAGGAAACTCGTTAGAACGTGTGGTTATGTGATCTACTCATGTAAAATAACTGTGATGTAGATGTACACAATATCCTGTTCATTTGTGAGGTGTCACAAGGAAATATAGATCTTAAATTTAGTCTTGATTTGTTGATGTCACATTTATTTTCCTTTTGTTTGTTGACCTTTTTCTTTAAAACAATGCTTTGATAAAAAAAAATGTCTTTTTGTGGAGTTTTATTATGATTGATTAGAAATATTCATTGTTGTAACTTCACACTTGATATATGAAAATACAAGGGGAAAAAACTTTTATGATGTATTAAAGATTGTCATCACTAAATTATCTTTTTAGATTTTATTTTAAAAATTCAGATTTTACAAACTGACTTTTGTTTACATGTATATAGAGATATAAAAAAACTTAATAGATTTGTCCATTTATCTCATGCTCTGATTCTGTCAAATTTCGTGATATGTTATATTACATAGATTGACGATTATTCTTGAAATGCTTCAAATATATATATTATCAGAAATCGGAGAGAAGACAACAACATGCTTCCAAGGAAACAGAATTTCTGAGGTTAAAAAGGTCAAGGTTAGGGGTAGAAGATTTTGAGCCAATCAAAGCCATCGGCAGAGGGGCATTTGGAGAGGTGAGTTTAAAAAAAATAAAGGTAACCAGGAATATCATAGGCCACATAAATTTTTATTTTAGATTGTCATCCTAATTTGCTTAAAAAATTTGGACAGAAGGGCAGATTTTATTTTTTTATTCTACATAACATTCTTCTCATATAAAATTTCACATTGTTAAAACCAATATGGATGGATTTTATTGTTTATTCTATAAAATAAAATATCAAGAGTCTTCTTGTACAAAATATTTACATTCTTGATGATTTTAAAAGTCAATATACCATAAACAAATCCTTGAAGGAAGTGGGGCCCAGATTCCAGTACATTGTACATGAAGTACTTGGTAGTCACCAATTCTCACAGGCCTTTCTCCACTATACCTTACAGTTTGACCAACAACCACTTCTGTTTTGTCTGAAAATATCAGATTTCCACTATCCTTATACTCATAAAATTTTGCAAAACAAAGTATCAAAAATATTCTATAGAATCTGACCTCTGTTGAACAATTCTTATAGATAGCTATTTTCTATAACACTATTTCCTCAAAAGTCTGCCAGACAGTCTTTTTAAATATAAAATTAACAATTGCCAATTGCTACAAGATGTAAATTTCTTCAACTGTTTTGCTATTCTTTTACTATCTTTCAATCTCTTTATAAACTTAATGATGATATCTGGTAGATTTACGAAAACTTAATAAAACCGCTTATTTTGCTTTTTTTCTGCCCTCTTTGTACAGGCATATTATCTTTTTATGCCCCTCTAATGGAAGATTCTGGGGCATATAATTTTGGTCTGTCCATCTCTCCATCTGTTTGCAGAAACTTTAACCTTTTGATTGTTGGTGCTAGGGCTTTCATATTTTACATGTATTCCTTGTGGCAATATGTTTTTATGGGTAACAACACATTTGACCTCTTGAGTTTTGCCCACATATGCATAATTTTACCAATTTTTAGCCTTGGGCATAACTTTAGAATGGTTGGTACGAGAGCTTTCATATATCACATGTTTATTCACTGACCTTTGAGTACAAACATATTTTACCTTGACTTTGAGTTTGACCTACTTATGAAAAAGTTAAACCATGGACATAACTTTTGAATGGTTGGTGCTAGGGTGTTCATATTTCCAAGGTGTATTCCTTGACAAGATGTTTCTTTGAGTACCAACATATTTGACCTCCTGACCTTGACCTTGGAGTTTGACTTGCATTTGAAAAACTTCAACTTTGGTCATTTGTTGCAATACAGGGCATCAGTGTTTTACAAATAAGTGTTTCACAAACACATCTTGTTTTTCTACAGATACAGTACTGCTTTTCTCACCAATTTTTCTCCATTCTCCATACGCTAAAAATAGTGCTATGTTACTTTAAGTAACTTTTAATAACTCTTAAATTTTGGCCGTCACTGATCTCAATTGTTTTATTTAGAAAAACATGATGAATCATTTTGATAACAATAAACAATGGGGTAGAATGCTTTGAGAGGGATGAGCAGGGATGAGAATCTAAAATTTAATTTATCTGCCCTAAAGTACACTGCAATTGTTGTGCATCTCAACTCAATGTCAGTTCATGACTGTAAAAATGAGCATATGAATATTTAAACAAGGTAAAAAAATTTAACTGTTACATTCAGCTTGTGTTTTTCTCCAAATTTGGGAAGCAGGTCACCTAGTAATGTTTAATGTGCAGTAGAAAGATGATACATCTTTGTTAAAAGCATCAATAAGTTAGTCACAGTACATAACATGGGAATGATATGACGATAGAGATGTAAATTACTGCATTATAGCAATAAATTGGAAACCATTACAAGGAAATTTTTTATTTTCTTTTAAACTGACTACATTGAACTTGTTTATGGTGCAAGGCAAAGACAGGGTCTATTTTAAGAGGTTTGCTTAATATTCAGATTGAAATGACAGGTATCTTTGTGAAGAAATCACCTTAAAATTACTAAGGATAAAGACCTTCTACAGGCCAGATATTAAAGTAAATAGAAGTCTTGTTTCCAAAATAATGAAGAATTGATATGTAGTGACATGAAGGAGTTGGAGTGTGTTTATAGCTCCATATATCAATTGAAGCATACATGATGTCCTGACAAGGGATGAGGGCCTTTAGATGCTGTGTGAGAAACATAGGGTGAACTTGTCCAGTTCACTGACTTTCTGATCAGAAATTGTTTTGATTTTTTCAAAGTTACATGAAGTAGACTGTGGTTTTCCTTTGATACTTTGAGCATTTCCTTATGCTTTTGGTTGGCCTACTATTCAGGTGTGAGATGTTATTTAATCTCAGGTAACACAGGAAATCACCTGTGTCAGGTAATACTCTCAAGGCCACACGGATGACATGTGACCAAGTTTTAAACTTGCCCTTTTTTTCATAAGGTGTTTTTTTTTTTTTTTTTGGTAATTTTTGATGAAGGGGAGAAGATTTTTGATTTATTACTGACATGCAAACATGAATTCTGCTCTCTCAAATCAGTGATATGAGTGAAGTGTAGGGGATAAGAAATTTCAATACGTTTTTCAAAGTTTCCAGTATAAACTTAAAAGTACATGTATATTTACTGTATGAATTAAATATTCTGAAAAAGATGCATGTTTTAAATGCATTACTAAGATATGACACAACAACATCAATAGTATAACATTATTCAGTTAACAGCATGTTACTTAAAGTGATAATAAGGTTATTGAATTTTTGGGTGTAACAACATGAAAATTTGAGAGTTTTTGGCGTCATTTGGTCCTTGAATAAAATAATGAAAAAACCCTGGGAAAATTAGCTTGACCGTGACCAGAATAGAATTGTTTTAAGTGTGTGTAGTCACATATTTAATTTTGGTCACCTCTATGATGACATGGTAGCTAGGGTCTACATTATAAGCACATTGTAATGGGTAGTTGGTACTGTGGTTACAATTTGTAAGGAGACTCTTAATCTGGGAAAGAAATCTTTCACAATCTACTTATCAGGACAAGCTTAATCGGCCTCAATTGACTTCAATCAGTGTTTGATATTTGTCTGCATCATGAGTCACATCTTCCTGTATTGGATAAGCAGTGTAAAATTGTGCAGACACTTCTCTCCACTAATGTAAATAAAAAAAGAGCATGATTAAGGCAAAACCGGTTTTACTTTAAGGAACATTTGTTTAAAGGGTAGATGTCAAACAGAAAAAAAGAGGGAAAAATAAAGCCAAGAACATTGCCAGATCTTTCAGAAAAAAAAAATGATAACAAAATTTCCAGTGCTTTAAATGAGAAAATAACGTCCCTTTTATTATCATCAAATCAACCTTTCATTTCCAGAAAAGCCTTTGAAATACACCTGAATAATGAAAAGATGTGCAAATTTGAATTCTAAGTACATTTATGCTCTAGACTTTGACAAAAATTGGCAAGGTGTATTACTTTTAATAAATACATTAGTGACTAGTGACTACATAGAACGGTGGCAATCTGCATAGAGAATGTTGACAAATGGATACATTTGTAGAGAATGCTGACTAAATAATGACTACATTGGTAGATTATGCTGGATGACTAATTACGACATGGATAGATAAAACCTGACTATGTAGTTAACTCTGTGGGAAGAGATTGCTATACAAGATGCAACTTCATGATAGAGAATGCTGAAGGACTATTGACTACCTTGGTAGAAAATGTTGGCTGACTAGTGACTACATGGATAGAGAAGACTGACTTACTTGTGACAAAATGGAAAATGACTGACTTTTGGCTAAAAATAAGTAGAAAATGGTGACTGATTAGTCACTACATAGGTGGAAAATGCTGACTATCTAGTGACTGTATGGACAGAGAATGCTGACTGACTTATGACTTCATGGAATGAAAACTGACTAGTGACTAAATGGATAGAGAAACCTGACTGACTAGTGACTACATGGATAGAGAAACCTGACTGACTAGTGACTACATGGGTAGAGTATTATGACTGACTAATGACTAAATGGATAGAGAAACCTGACTGACTAATGACTAAATGGATAGAGAAACCTGACTGACTAGTGACTAAATGGATAGAGAAACTTACTGACTAGTGACTAAATGGATAGAGAAACCTGACTGACTAGTGACTACATAGATAGAGAAACCTGACTGACTAGTGACTACATGGGTTGAGAAAGCTGACTAGGGACTACATAGAATGCTGACTGATTATTGAGTACATGGCTAGATAATACAAACTGACTAATGGCTACATGGGTAGAGTATTCTGAATGACTTGTGACCTAATGAGTTGAGGAATCATGCCCTTATAAAGAGTTTATTTGTTCTTGATAAGCTTCTCTGTTATTTATGGTGGGTAATTACCCCTATAATGCAGCAAGTTATTGGCTCAGCTCTTGATTTTCTCATCTATCTGTCACCAACAGTATTTGTTCATTTGATTCGGGACTCTTTGGATGTGTTTTACTTGAACTTTGGCAACATTTAAAAGCAATTTTTATTACACTGAAATTGTCATTTGTCCTCCATTATCTGCACATTTAACAGCAATATATATATATATATATATATATGTACCATTTATGCAATATTAATTTAGGCTTATGTTATGTATAAAACTTTTTAAGTTTTCAAGTGCCCAATGGAAACTGCTCAAATTAGCAAAAATAACAAAATTATTAACCTCACGTTCACAAGCAGTTGGAAACTTAAGCCCTTTGTAAACAAATGCCCAAAACTAGGTCAGTGTAATCTATTGAAGAAAATTTACTGCCCAATGACATTACTAAAACTTTCTGCTAGAAACATTTTGTAAGAAATCTAAAAATATCCTAGAGAACAGTGTCAGTTTGCAGAGGTCCCATAATCTAAACATCTCATGTTTTCTAAATAGATTGCTGTCTTCAAGGACAGATGTACCCTTTTTGGTCAGGTTCTTTTTTGAAATGTTATTTAAAAATCTGATCCCTGCCAGTTCTGTACGGAATAAAGCAGCTAGTATTTGAATTTCATTTCATGTGTAATGACTATGTGGCACACCACAGTTCAGTATGAAGGATGCATCATTCTTCTATTGGACAACAGATATAATGCATTTACATAATACATTGTAATACATTACCCACGTGCAATCAGGTAAAACAAATGATAAAAACAGAATTTTAATGGTGTATGAAGGTGCATGATTGTAAATTATCATGCAGTTGTGATCATGCATATATAAAGAGCTACACTATAGCTGACAAGTCAATTGGGGTTCATGTAAAATTATATTTATACCTGTAATAATTGATGGAGAGCCCAGAAGAGTCATGTGAACGTCAAACACATTCTAAGTATCATATCAAAAAAATAGTTACGAAATAATATGTTTTATGAGTAAAACATGAACCTACCCAGTATTAAATGGCTGTTTGATTCCCTGTATTAGATAACCAGTATTGCATAATAAATTTGATTTTTTCTTTTTCAGGTGCGACTGGTTCAGAAAAAAGACACAGGTCATGTCTATGCCATGAAAATTCTCAGAAAAGCTGACATGGTGGAAAAAGACCAGGTATATACACTGATTTTTGTGTGGTCTGTGTCATATGTATGTCTTCTACATCTGGCAGCAATGTAGTAACAGCTGATCAGTGACATTAAAGAACAGAATTGTATAATTTCTGATAGTGAAGTAATTTATTTCTTCATAAAATATTGCTTCGTCAGAATTATTGGATAATAACTTCCTAGTCAAGATCTGGTAGAAAAACAAAGAACTTGAAACCATAGGTGGGGTTTTAAATTTTCAATAAAATTATGAGATTGTGAGGTGACATTCTGACAATGAGGAAATTTTAAAATTATATTATTTGTTTTGAATTATGTAATTTGTACACATATGACAAAGGATGTTCAAAAAAGAAAGAAAAAAGGAACATATCTTGGTTGAAAAGGACAGAAAGATATAAAAACTAATAGTATTTCTAAGTCATTTTGATGGTCTAGTTACAGTGTACATGAGTTCAGAATTAATAATATTGTTGTAACAAACAATTCAAAGATGAAGTCATCTAGAAACACTAGCAGTATTTAAGTCACGAGAATTTATTTAAATTCAGCCTTCTTTATATAACTTCAGTGAATTTGTAAGGCAGTACCAATCAAATTTATAATCTGATTTATTTCATGAGCTTCACAAAGTTTGAAAACCCTTTGCTTGATGCATGAATTCTATTTTTAACTGGAAAATAACAATCAAAATTCTTGTTTGCAGTATAATTTCAATATAATTGCCATATTTGTGATGTTACAACCAAATGATTTAAAGAGATCTTGTCAAACAAATCAAATTTCTGCAGTCATCTTGAAAATTTTGGGGCCAAATTTAATGTTTCCTACATGCATACTTTTTGAGTGCATGCTTGCTAGAAAAGACATAAACATTTTCATGAATGTTTTACACACTTTTCCTGCACACAGATTGCCCATGTGCGAGCAGAGAGAGACATTCTGGTAGAAGCAGACCATCAGTGGGTGGTTAAGATGTATTATTCCTTCCAAGATCAGCAAAATCTGTACCTCATCATGGAATACTTACCTGGAGGTAAGTTTATATTGAAATCAGTTTTGCTATTCAGAAAAAACGGTGTAAGATTTTCTTAGAAAACATTGGATAATGTTATGTATTCATTCATGTTTATAACAAAGCAGTTCAGTTTTAAACCCACCTAGATAACCATTCCTTTAGGTTCAAATTTTGTTCAACTTTCAAATTTTAAGAAATATATAATGACATTTCAATTAACAATAAGGGTGCAATGATACACTAACCTCACGATACGATAAGTATCACGGTATTCAGTTCACGATATGATACATATCACGATACATGACAAGGTTAAAAAGTCTTTCAAGTTTGTCATCATATTTTTTAAAACTTGACAGGGTTATATAAAATGTTCATATTTTTTTTTAATAATAATTAAAATAAAATTTTGTGAACTTGAATTGGATTGTTAGGTAGATCTTTGAGTTTTGACAATATTTTAAACCAATGATGAACATTTACAGGGAACTACAGGGAACTACAGGGACCTTTCCTAATAATATTCCTTTTAAATTGGAATGAAAAAGGAAGACATTCATTCTTTTATTTACGTAGAAAACCAGTTGTCATATTTCTCGTGTTAACACGTTTTAGTCAAAGACAGTGAATTTTCATCGATTTCATCGATTCATCAATTTACACACGTGATGAAATATCGTGTATTACCAAAGAATACGTTTAGATCTAAAGGGTTTATCATTTGTCTTAACATCTATAACTTATAATCACATTAAGTCCTTCTCCGTCTTAAATCTGAGATCTGTAAGATGCTGGAGATGAGTTTAACTTACGTTAATGCGTTATCGGCGACCTCACGTTTTGCGCGGAAGTCATTTTGAAATTGCAAAAAAGGAAACAAAACGGACGATTCGGATAATTCTGGACCGATTGAACCGAACCGCAATATCAGTTTAACGTATCGTGAATTGAACCATGGAAAAATATACCGCGATATACCGTCAAACGGTTTATTGTTGCACCCTTAATTAACAATTAAACTAACTTAAAGCTGAACATGACTTGTAAAAGGAAGAGGTTTATCCTTGTCTGCCATATTCTTTGCTCATCTAGTTTCTCAAGCCCTTATATAAGCCCCTGACTTCCTCAGGGTTCTAAGTATTTTACTGTTCAGATCTACCTGTGTAAGTGTATTCTACTATTCTACATTGCAGTTGTTACTTGGTTGCGATAAAATTATCAAATGCATGCACTCTACCACGTCAGGAGAAAAAGTAACATCAACCTCAGTGCATGCTTTAAAAACAAACACAAATGCATTTAAAACAATGAAATAAAATGTAAACACTTTGAAGACATAGGAAATGATACATTGGCCATGAGTTCCAGGTGTTCAATCAGGTGTAATGAATACCAAGGGTATATATACCCTAGCACCGATATTGGAGATAGGCAAAACTAATATGGCATATGGCAATTTACAAGCCGTGTTCAGCTTTAAATTTAGATACTGGTATACATGTTTACGAATTAAAATTGTTTACCTATTGTTTCACTCCACCTAAAGGTGACTTAACATTTGAAATGTTTGTTTATCCCAGGTGATATGATGACACTGCTGATGAAGAAGGATACACTAACAGAGGAACAGACTCAGTTTTATATATCAGAAACAGTGTTAGCTATAGACTCTATACACAACCTCGGCTTTATCCATAGGGACATTAAACCTGATAACTTACTGCTAGATGCCAAGGTCAGTTTCACTTGCTACGTTTGGATGAATTGAGATTTTTAATTTCCTGGTTATTAAGGGGCATTATTAAGGGGCATCTAGAAATTTGCCCTGCTTGCTAGGGTGAACGATTTCTTTTATCAACTTCAACGATTTCTTTTATCAACTTCAACGATTTCTTTTATCATCTTCTTTTAACAGAAAAATATTATACATGTACATCCTTACACATTGTCTTTGATTTTGGATTAATTTGCTAGTTGCAAATGTATTAAATTTTATGCATGCTTCAGCAGCAATCAGTGCATGGTTTTGCTAGACTTCTGGTCTAAATTAATGTATATATATATTATATATGTTTTGTAGAACTGATTATGATAATAATATCAGACTGATCAAGGTGTGAAGAAATAATTCAGTTTGTGAATGTATGCATAAGGTGCTTAAAACTAGTTCTCTTTAATCCCCTGTATCAACTGTCAAGATTAATTCTTATAGTGTAATATTTTTACAGGGACATATCAAATTATCGGACTTTGGCCTTTGTACAGGCCTGAAGAAATCTCATAGAACAGACTACTACAAAGATCTCAAAAATGCCAAAGCTCGGGATTTTAGTAAGTAATGTGGGAATGATAGTCTAAATTTTTGGTGCCTTAGTTATGTTGAATTCAAAACCATCCTTACAAAGTTGTGTCCCGTTTATAACTAAGATATATATGATTTTGCCATTCATTGCTGTATTTATTTTGTTTACAAGGTTCGAATCCAATGGATTCAAAACGAAGAGCTGAAAGCTGGAAAAGAAATAGACGACAGTTGGTGAGTGGAATCTCATTGTGACAAGGGAAATAACTCTTAAAAGATTAAAGCTACAACAGTCTTATCGTCTGTTAAAAGCAGTGCTATGTTTTCTGAACACAGAATTAAGATTATAAGTGTACAAAATGATTATCATGGTCTATGAGAGAGAGAAAAAAAATGATCTGATATGTTGTACTCAAAACATACTTGATTTTCTGTTAAAATGTAAGATGTAGTTTGCTTTATGTACATGTAGGTTTAGTAAATCATCATTTTCTGAGGGAATTTTGTTATAAATTTCAGGCCTATTCCACAGTGGGAACCCCCGATTATATTGCCCCAGAAGTATTTATGCAGACTGGTTATAACAGCAGCTGTGATTGGTGGTCATTAGGGGTCATTATGTATGAAATGTTAATAGGTAGGCTATCGAACTTAACATGTCAGACGTTTCTAAAAGTTTGTCCTGTGTTAATCCATGTAATTTAAGGAATCCATTTTCTCAAGAATCACATGTATTCTGTGTTCCTGTTTGAATTTTGACAGGTTATCCTCCATTTTGTTCTGAGAACCCACAAGAAACTTACAGGAAGGTCATGAACTGGAGAGAAACTCTCGTCTTTCCGCCAGAGATGCCAATTTCCAATGAAGCAAGGGATTTAATTCAAAGGTAGTTTTTGTACTTTTATGGGATATTTTATTATGCCCTTGATCAAAGATTCAGAGCACATTGTTTTTAGCTCACCTGAGCTGAAAGCTCAAGTGAGCTTTTCTGATCACATTTTGTCTGTAGTCCGTCTGTCTGTAAACTTTTCACCTATTTTGACTTCTTCTCCAGAACCACTGGGCCAATTTCAACCAAACTTGCCACAAAGCATCCTTGGGTGAAGGAGATTCAAGTTTATTCAAATGAAGGGCCACACCCTCTTTCAAGGGGAGATAGTTAAGAATTAGTGAAAAATTAATAGCATCTTTTAAAAATCTTCTTCTCAAGAACCACAGAGCCAGGAAACTCATACAGAAGCATCCCCAGGTAGTGTAGATTCAAATTTGTTCAAATCGTGACCCCCGGGTAGGGCGGGGCCACAATGGAGGATCAAAATTTTACATAGAAATATATAGGAAAAAATCTTTTAAAATCTTCTTCTCAAGAACAGCAAAGCCATGATGAGTCATATTTATATGGAAGCATCCTCAGGTAGTGTAGATTCAAGTTTGTTCAAAGCATGACCCCTGGAGATAGGGTGGGGCCACAATGGAGAATCAAAGTTTTACATAGAGGTATATAGGGAAAATCTTTAAAAATCTTCTTCTCAAGAACAGCAAAGCCATGATGAGTCATATTTATATGGAAGCATTCTCAGGTAGTATAGATTCAAGTTTGTTCAAATCATGACCCCAGGGGCAAGGGCGGGCCACAATGGAGGATCAAAGTCTTAAATACAAAATATATAGGAAAATAGCTTCTTCTCAGGAACTGCAATGCCATCATTAGTCATTTTGATATGGAAGCTTCCTAAGGTAGTGTAGATTCAAGTTTGTTAAAATGATGACCCCTGGGGGTAGGGTCGGGCAACAATAGGGGATTGAAAATTTTACATAGGAAGATATAGGAGAGTATCTTCTTCTCAAGAACAGAAAATCATGTTTAGTCATTTTGATATGGAAGCATCCTCAGGTAGTGTAGTTCAAATTTGTTCAAATGATGACCCCCAGGGGTAGGATGGGACCTAATGGGAGATCGAAAGTTTTACATAAGAACATATAGAAAAAAATTTCTTCTCAAAAACAGAAAAGCTATGTTTAGTCTTATTGATATGGAAGCATCCTCAGGTAATGTAGATTCAAGTTTGTTCAAATGATGACCCCTGGGGGATAGGGAGGAGCTACAATGGGGGATCAAATTTTTACAAAGAAATATAAGGGAAAATTCTTTTAAAATCTTCTCAAGTACAACAAAGCCATTTGTTATATTGACATGGAACATCATCAGGTAGTTTAAAATTCAAGCCCCCCCCCCCCCCCCCCCCCCCCCCCGTAATCTTTTCATTACTGAACTGATTTGTGCCTTAGCCTAGCCAATGTGCTCAGGTGAGCAATGTGGCCCATGGGCCTCTTGTTCTTTTCTCTTTGGTTATTTTTTCTGCTCACAACTTAATTTTGACTGTTGAACTTTGTATAAAGATAGAAACTTTACATTTGGTTTTAGTAAAGACTAAAGCTTAATGGTAAAAGGTTAAGTGTATAATGTATTTCATTTGTCTTTATCCTGACACAAACTTGTAAAATAAAATGAATGGTTTTAAATTGAAGATTTTGCTGTGATGCTGACCATAGAATAGGTGCAGGCAATCCAGATGAAATCAAGTCCCATGTTTTCTTCAAAGGAGTGGACTGGAAGCACATAAGGTTGGCAATAGTAGATTTCAACAAAGTATGATTGTAATATAGTTATCTAACAAATGCTAAGAAATGCTTTCATACATTGAGTATATAATTAGATGTGGATAAAGAGAAATAATGAGAGAGTGTGAAAATTATTACATAACCTGTATAGCATGGTAGACACAAAATGATCTTTATTTGGCATCTATCTGTCTTGCTTTCAGTCAAGGAGGAATGCACTTTCACAAAAAAAGCCTAGAACTCTCTTAACCACCTCATAAAATGATATAGGTGAAATACAAACATCAAATGGAGTTGTAATGGTCACTTCAAGTAATTAAAAGTATCACAATCAATCTGTATATACTTATTACAACATATTTTATATCCTTAATATGGTTTGAGGATAAAATAATTGTTCAAGGGGTATTTGATTTCATGGTTGAAGAAGTGATGCATTGTTATGTATTCAGAATTTTACATTTAGTGGAGGACATGAATTTGTGGTCTCCTCATACCGCAAAAAAGACAAAAATTACCCCACCCCACCCCCCGAAAGTTAATGATTCCACAGTATTTTTTTTAGAATCTTAATGACATTGTTTATCATCAACAGTTTTCAGTGTACATAAAGAAGAAGAAAATGCATAAAAAGATTGTTTATTTTTGTTGTTACAGAAATAACCATGCATGAATTACCGAATAAAACTAATATTAGTATTCATACATACAGTTCAGTTAAACTAGTAGTTGTCAAGATAAACAACATGTTGTCGACAGAGAATTATTCTGCATGCATAATAAAAATAAAGAAAGTAAAGTAAATTTTAAAAATATTTCAAGTAAAGAAAGTTTTAACATCTGTGTATCTCAAAAATTCTTGTAATGTTTAGATTTTTGTTTCTAATGGATTTTAGAGAATTTGAATGATCCTGATTTAAAAAAAAAAAAAATTGAATACCCTATACTTAATATGAAATATCATTTAGAAATTATTAAAAATGCAAGAAACACACATCTGTTGACTTACAGTGTTTCTTTTTTCTCTGTAAAATAATTTTTCCTGTGCTTTTTTCAGAGACAGACCTGCTGCCATCCCAGTGGAGGTCAAAAGCATTGATGACACGTCCAACTTTGATGAATTCCCGGATATAGATCTCAAGTGGCGTATGTATTCTTGATAAAAGTGCAAGTTCTATGGAATTTCAAAACACGTTATAGTCAGTTTCTTATCCATCAGAACAGGAAAGCACATTAGAGTAAAGTGCCAGGGGAAAACAATTCTGATTTGTTGCAAAAGTAATTCTTTATGTAGGATATAAATATTACTTCCATGTGGGAATTCATTATATATACATGAGTAGAACTTCGGTGTCTCGAACACTGATATCTTGAATACCATGAATTTGAAGTCCCAAGCACTTATTTCCTTAGTATTTTACCTTGGATATCTCGAATACTCGGATATCTTGAAGTATTTTCTTGGTCCCATCAAGTTTGAGATAACGAGGTTTGACTGTATAAATGGTTCACTGTAACTGTGTTTTACTATAGTGTATAAGCAATAATGCTGTCTCCTTGGGGTTAACCAGATTGTCAGAAAATTAGTATTTTCAATAAAGAAGGATCCTTGTATATTTAATGTTATGTTGTGGTGTTAATGCATATCTTACTTTTTTGTCAACAGCTGCCAACAAAGATGGGGCCCCACATCAGGGAGCTAATCATTCCACGACAGAGGGTGATCCCAAATACAAAGACTGGGTGTTCATAAACTATACATACAAACGATTCGAAGGACTCACTCAAAGGGGGAGGCAGCCATTTGCAAACACGTAGGCACCGCCCCAACGTAGAAATGGCACTTAAGTTATTTATGTACTCAAAGGAATTAAGTAATCTCTGTGGATGGCTCTTTGGGATGACAGTTAGTGATGCCAGTTTGGGAAGAGCTGTCAGCTTTCCTGTTTAGCAGCTTTCACTGTCTGTCCTACAGATGTAACGTCTATAAAAGGGATGTATTTAGGAGGAGAAAACAAATTTTCTTTTTCTAAATGAAATTTTTTCACCAGTTTTGTTGTGTTTGTAGATGTGGATAAGAAAGTATAATGTCAGTTAACAAGAGGGAATGGTTTTACTTGCTTTAAATCCATAATTGTGATGTAATTTGTTTTAAATGCTAGGGTTTCACATAGGACATGCAATTAAAGGTTGAAGATGTATGTTGCTTGGATTTTAAATAACATTTACTACAAAGTACAATTTTATAGTTTGATCTATATATTTTTTTCTTATTAAAATAACAAAGGATTCTAGTTATAATCAAAAGTTGCTAAACTAAGTTCTTTTCTTTTACCGGTAAGAAGTTATGTAGTAAAGTGGGTGTTTCAATTATACATGGGGGTTGAATGTAAAAATATTTTTGTGTGATTTCCCTTAAAATACATACTAATTTTAATGGAAGGAAAATTAAGATATGAAGAAGAGAAAGTATATGTCCATTTTCCCAAAGATTATTTCATACTGAAAGAGTCATGTTTCAGATTGTTTGTTCCATTGCTGCATTTACAAAGCTTCAGTTTGAATCTTGTTGACTATTGATTGCAAAGAACATTCCAGCGTTATCCTTATGATTATGGGAAACTGTTTTTAATTAATTTTTACAAAAGTTTTTCAAAATGAGAAATTCTGAGATATACTGTGCTTAAGTGAGCAGAGAAGGTGGTTTACATTTGTGAAACAGGTCAGAATTATATGTGCAGCTGTTTTACAATATTCCAACAGTTTTATTTATAAGCCACTAACACACACAAAATATATCTTATATACTCACATATAGGTGAAATTTTGGGGGATTAAAGTTTAGTCCAAACCTCTATGTTTAAAGTATACCTTGAAAGTCAGCATTTTCTTATCAATTGAATTTTGTGGTTGACTTAACCCAAGTTAGGACATATATGGAATCTGAAATTAGTAAATGATTCAAATAAAAAATCATACCAACTGATAGATCTGTCATTGGTTGATTCCTTCAAAACAATCTGAAAAAATACAACCAACTTAAAAGTAAACCTACCTGTATGCGAGTATATGTGGTATGTCCATTTATTAACAATAATCATCCATTAGTGCGACAAAAAGAAAACATCTTAAGTGCTCAATTTTGATTTTATTAAATCTCTAAATCTCATATCACTGATGCTTTTATTCTGAAAAACTTTGGACTTGATTTTGGGAGAGAAGGTCATGATGTCACAAACATATAGGAATTCTAAAGAAATATTTAACAAGACGAAGTATTTTGCAATCTTTCTGAAGAGAGGGTTGGGTTTTAGTGTCACATACAATGTATGTACGTTTAGTTGTCTACCATTTGACCTATGCTTATTTGTTTTTCTTGGATCTTTAGCCAACATTGTAAAATCATATTATATTAGGAAAGTTTTTAGTTACCAGGCATGATATCTTCAAAAAAAGTTCCTCAAGCAATATTACTGTTGTAGTTGCATACTTTGAATGTAGTTAGCATACTATTGTATTTTAAGTTTGTAACATTTATGGAGTGGAACGATAACTTAGTTATCAATGATTTGTGTAATTTTTTTTTTTTCATATCATTTTTTTTTTGTTTTTGCTAGCGATATTAAGCATTGTTTTGATATTTATGATGTTTTAAGGGGCGTGGTTGATCCTGTGAAATAGTTTATGTATGGAAGATAAGTGTGATACAATTGTTGATTTTTAAAATTATTTATCATTGTTTAATGCTGATTGAAAATATCTAGCTAAATAAGCTTGACACAAAATGAAAAGAGGCTGAAAGTGAGAAAGAATGATTGGTGCCTAGACCAGGATTAAACTGGAATATTTGGCATCCTGCTATTGAACACTACCACTTGCATTCATTTTAACATATTCCTTTTTGAATCACTATTCTTCTTTTTCTACCTCATATGTAATATATGTACAAGCTTAAAAACATAAACCAACATTATGTGCAAGTTATTTTTTAATATATGCTCTGGCAAACACATTTATGGCATACATTTAAACATGTATTAATAGTAACTTAATTAACATTCAAGAATTCAAAATAACATTTAAAAAACTTTAGCATTTGTCCTTTGAGGAATTGCTTTATGTCAGTGTTAAAATATTTTGTGCCATAGCAGTCTTTTAGGTAAGTAAAATTTTCCTGTGACATTTGTTTTCTGTTAACAGTTTGAATTTTTAAGATTTTGTTTCCAAATCAAATTGACTTTCTGGGCAAAGTCACAGTAGCAATAACTCAGCTGTAGTACACAACACAATCACTCCCACAGAAAGGTCAAAGTTTAAAGTTCACCAGGGATGTGTCAGTCACTGTGATATGTAGAATTGTCTCCATATGGTGGGTGTTGACAATAAAAAAAAATTGCCAACCAATTTATTATGTGTTTGTTCATTTTTTTTTGTTGAAAATCTGCTGAGGAGCCTTATAAAAATTTGAGGAGATTCATGTGGTGACTGAGTTCATGTCCGTGGACCCACTCATCTATCAATGGTTTTGTGTACCTATAAAGTACATGAACATGTTACCATAAATATAATTTAAAAGCCGTAATGAAATCAACATGGCTTTTCTTACTGTTGATTCAAATATCCAATCTATCCCTTGGCTGCCAGTAAAAGTTATGTCTGTATACCTCATCCATTTTTGGAGGGAGCTTTGAACTGACTTCGGATAACCTAGAAAAAATGTCTCGGAGGAGCTGAATAATCCATTGCCTTGTACACCCCCACTCATTTTGTCTAGAATACCCCTAATGCCTTTCCTCATGCATAGAGCTGGAAAGGGGGCTCAAGAGCCCTCCTCTTGGTTTTTTTTTTTTTTTTCAGAGATATACATTTATTAAGTAAGCAACAAAAAGACTCTGAACCCCCTAGAAAACACAGACCCCTGGTAAAATGGACTGGTGAGGAATGTCATCATGTATCAAATATGGAGATGATAAACAGTATTCAAGCTCAGAAGTCCATCATGCGCGGATCTAGAGGTGGCGGGGGGTCCGAACTCCAATATTTATTATTTATTACATGAATATACTACAGCAACTTTAACTGACATTGGACCGGTAGAAAATGCGGAACTCTGTTAAGTGAAGTTGGAATGAAAAGTCATACATACCAAAAATAGGTTTCTCACATTTAGGAAAGGAGTCAAGTTTTTTTAATGTGTTGAATACAATGTAAAAATATTATATCGCCTGACACCATCCCCTGAAGACACACACACCACACTCTCACAAACACACCCTCACATATACTGGAGCTCAAGAGAGAGAGATAGAGTTCTCGAGGCTCGAGGGTATATTAATACACTTGTACATATTTGATCAAATCATGCTCCAATTACCAATTATAATGACAATTTTTTTTCATCCAAGATATTATGTGTTAAATTAGAAAGAAAATTGTCCAGTTCAGTACTTCTAATTCACACCACGAAAGAGCAAACAAGAGAATATTCTGACTATTTTTGCCTCTTTCTTGGTGCTGCATCTTGTTTTGTTAATATGATGTATATGAAAAAAGAATTGATTTAAAAAGGTCAGTCGGAGTATAATGTCTTATTAAATTGTTTGTTTATCTTTTTAATTATTTTTCATTTTTAGGCAACAACTGTTGCAAAGGTAATGACCAATATTTGCCCCCCCCCCCCCCCAAATCCAACTTTGACAGAGAAATCTATAATTGTTCTAAACCAGGGGGATATCTGCAGACTTTAAAGCATGAAATATTTTCATCAGCCATGATGCATTTGTTAGATATGACGTCATGAAAATGGCGTCAATTTAAATTTTACGGACTTATATAAAAGAAAAAGGTGTATATGTCGATATTTTGAGTAAAAGGCACCGAGCGCAGGTCTGCTCCAACTCAATGTTTTGATATAAGGTGAAGAATGATAATGTCAATGAAATATGTGAATATTGTCATGGATTTTCAAAACTGTAGGAGGAGTCACAGGCACTTGGGGTATGGACCCCCCTTTCCATTTTTTTTCTTTTTAAATCTGGGATCAAGTCACCTTTTTCCTATTTTTGTATTCTAATATGCACCATGTGTTATCGATAATGTAACCATTTTGTCTCTATAAGCTGTTTTTAAATACCCCCCCCCCCGGTATATCGTTTTCGACTGGTACATAAATACTCTCTTTTTATGTATCAGTCGAAAACGATATATTTAAAAACAGCTTATAGAGGGTTACACTATCGATAACACATAGTGCATATTAGAATACAAAAATAGGAAAAAGGTGACTTGATCCCAGATTTAAAGTATATCGTTTTCGACTGGTACATAAATACTCTCTTTTTATGTATCAGTCGAAAACGATATATTTAAAAACAGCTTATAGAGACAAAATGGTTACACTATCGATAACACATAGTGCATATTAGAATACAAAAATAGGAAAAAGGTGACTTGATCCCAGATTTAAAGTATATCGTTTTCGACTGGTACATAAATACTCTCTTTTTATGTATCAGTCGAAAACGATATATTTAAAAACAGCTTATAGAGACAAAATGGTTACACTATCGATAACACATAGTGCATATTAGAATACAAAAATAGGAAAAAGGTGACTTGATCCCAGATTTAAAAAGGAAAAAAAAGGGGGGGGGGGGGGGTCCATACCCCAAGTGCCTGTGGGAGGAGTAGTGTTTTAAAGGAATTTCACAGAAATTTCTATTTTTAGTAACCTTGGCAACACTGTTCATCGAAAACTAAAACCGATGCACTAAATAATGTATCTTAGTGTAGTCTACTTGTGTGCAAAGTTATATTGAAACCAGACCAAAACTGTAGCAGGAGTAGCGTTTTAAAGGTATTTCACAGACATTTCTATTTTCAGTAACCACGGCAACACCGTTCATCTAAATCAAAAACTGATGCACTTAATTATGTATCTTAGTGTAGTCTACTTGTATGCCAAATTATATCTAAATCGGACCAAAACTGTAGCAGGAGTAGCGTTTTAAAATAATTTCACAGAAATTTCTATTTTTAGTAACCAAGGCAACACCGTTCATCGAAATTAAAAACTGATGCATTAAATTATGTATCGTAGTATAGTCTACTTGTGTGCCAAGTTAACTTGAAATCAGACCAAAATTGTGGGAGGAGTAGCATTTTAAAGGAATTTTACAGAAATTTCTAATTTTAGTAACCATGGCAACATCATTCATCAAAATCAAAAACTGATGCACTAAATTATGTATCTTATTGTAGTTTACCTGTGTGCCAAGTAATACTGAAATTAGACCTTAACTGTAGGAGGAGTAGTGTTTTGAAAAATTGTTTTACAGACAGACGGACAGACAACTAGACGGACGGACGACGGACACCTTACTATCGCATAAACTCTTCTGGTCTCTGACCAGTAGAGCTAAAAATGAAATTTTGTCCACTTTGTCCTCTTTCTGAAAAATAACGCAAAATCGAAATAGTTTGTGACGACATAGAAACAAAACTTGCAAATAACATACTTCGAAACTATAGTATTTTTGTGAATTCTGTTTTTCATACAATATATACAATTCAGCACATTTCAAGAAATTTTCAAAATTTTACTTTTTGGGAGGCAAAAAACGCTTATACCGCATAACTCTTTTAGCTTTCCTCACAATTCCATGTCTTTGACTATTGCAAGGTATTGAAATAGGCCTAGTTCACCATTAACTCCTTATGTTAAAGTAAGACTGGGATCAAAAGTGAGCTCGTCTAAGTTTTATGGTCCCAGAAAGTTAAAACCAATTATTGAAGAAGAAAAAAATGAGATTTCATGAAAAGAAAGTTATTTTCACCACAGGCTTTTGAAAACAATTGTGAATAAAGTTAAATGGTTTCAATGTAAATACATGTAACAAACTTCTCTCTCTCCCTCTCTCTCTCTCTAAATACATGTAAATACATTTACAATGACATTACATCTTGCGGAATGTTTTTTTTTAACTTATGCAAGTCGCATGACAGACTGTGATAACAAAAAGACTTCAGCAATTTTATATGACGAGTGGCCATTCCGAAACTAGAGTTGTCTTTGCGAAAAAATTCATTTGTGCTTAAAGATTAAAAACGAAAAGATACCTTTTAGCAGTTACTAGTACAGTGCAGTGCTGGACAAATTCTAAACACGACCATGTCTGACCTTTAATTTAGTTTCAAATGCTTTTCTGATCTTCTTGTTCATGAACGCATACACAAAAGGATTTATGCAAGAATTAGCATATGATAAAGTACTCGCAAATATTTTAAATTTAAGTAACTGCGCAGAAAATGTAAAATTGGGATCTAAGGTCCACCACATGACTAGAACTTGTATCGGACCCCAAGAAAAGGCAAACAGGAGAATTAAAACAGCCACCATCTTTGCCGTTCTCCTAGTTTTCTTCATTGGTGGTGTTCCCTCTGTCTAATAAGACAAAAAAAAAATTGGAATTAACTTCCTTTCCTATGGAATTCCATATGCGACAGCCAACTGCTTCCTGCCAACTGCTTACTGTCAACTGCCAGCTGCTAATTGCCAACTGCTCACTGCTTATGTATGATATTGCCTATCTTGTTATATAATATCTTTAATACTCATGCTTGAATAAAGAAAAAATCTATAAATCCTGTGATAGCAAGAAAAGAACGGCGAACGATAGTATTATTCTGTTTATTATCTCCAAGTCCAAATTTTCAAAATTTAACATATTTGAACGATTCTTCATATTTATATAGCTATTTATGTGAATTTTCATAAAACATAACTTATTTGGGAAAACAAAGAGAGATAAGTCTCTAATTTGGTAAAGCTTGTGTTTTCACTATAGAAATCAACGGAAAACGGAAATTTATTTTCAAAACTTCCCCCCCCCCACCTTCTGTGAAACAACAATTCCTTTTTGCAGGTGTTATGAATTATTATTTCACAAAATCATATCAAAGGCGTTGTTTTAAGGGGAGATGGGAGGGGGGCATATGTTTACAGACTAAATACAGGAAAATAGTCATTTTTTTATTTCCAATTTCATATGAGATAACAAATAAAAAATAAACTTTATCAATTCAATCTGATATGTTGAAATTTTACATAACTTAAAATTTTACATAAGTTAAACTTGCGGAGACATTTAAGAGTCATGAGTAATAGAAATCTGGTGATGTTTTAAAGCCTGGTTTCAATTGATAAAATTTTCTACCCCCTTATGGAGGGAGTTGTAAATAAGAACAATTAACTTTTGACACTGGTTTTTAAAATTATTAATCCATTACTAATGAACTTTTCTTTGCAATCAAACAAGTTATAATGGCCAAATTGCCATTTATTTTGAATTAAATGGATGTAAAATGTAGGCGGGAATCGAGAGTTAGCTTGCATAAATCTTACAATAATGACGAAAATTTGCGGATTTAGGAAAGGAGTAAATCGGAGAAAGAAGTATTTCTTCTTAAAACCAAAACATTTAATTCCCACATTTCCTTGCAGGCAAATAATTCGAGAGCTTTTTGGGGTGGGTGAGGGGATGGTGGGGATTGTGGGGTTCACATACGATAAAAGAACAAACTTTTAGCAGGGTCTTGGGTAACATTTGTTGGCATATAAATTTATGCTAGAAATATTACTTAATTTTAAAATAATTTAACATATGCCAAGGGTAAATCTTTTAGTGTTTCTTTTTACCCTATAAAAGGAATCCGTATTTGTGAATTTTTATATGTGTCTTATTAAATCGTTTAATGGCTAATGTTAGAGTAAAAGCATTGGTGGTGGTGGTGGTGGTGTCTCCCCCAATAAATTGCCAGCATATACTATACAGTAGTGCTCCCTCAATAACGGTGCCTAGTGACTTTTTAGGGATTTCTGTTGGGTTGTGCCCCCCCCCCCCCCATTGGAAATTGCTTCCTTGCCTAAGATCAGCTGTTTTACATAGAGTAAAATTAATCCTTGTATTAGGATTTTTCTTAGACTAAGTATTTCTGCATGGTATAATGCATATACCAACAAATGTAACCTAGGATCCTACTACAAGTTTGCCCCCCCCCCATTTTTCTGACGTTATATAAGATTTTAATCTTCCCCCTTCAGAAAAAGCTATTGAATTATTTGCATGCAAGGAAATGTGGGAATATTTTGTTTAAATGTTTTGTATTTAAGAAGAAAAACTCCTTCCTCCTATTTATTTCTTCTTAGCTCGCCTTTCTGAATTCGCCAATATTTGTTATTATATTCAAGCATGCGTATTAAAGATATTAAAGACAACAAAACAGGTAATATCATCTATGAGCAGTAAAAAGCTGGCAGTTGGCAGTTGGCAGTAAGCAGTGAGCAGTTGGCTGTCGTATATGGAATTCCATACTTTCCCCTATTTTTTTTTTTTGTTTACGTTATTTTTAAAAGACTTTTTTAAAAAAAAAGCTTTAGCTGTTCAATTTCTAGTATGCAAAAGATTTCATAGTTTAACTGAGCGATCACTGAATATGCGAATTAGGTCATTCCAAGTTTTTTCTTTGTTTAGCGTCCATCCTAAATTCGAAAACCTATCTTTCTCACAGGTACTTGTTGACAGGAACACCCCCACCCCCAACCCCCAACCACCCCCAAATTCAACCCCGAGGTTTGTTGGACATTTTTTCACAAATTATATTTATTACACTTATTCATCATGTTTACCATAGGAAAAAATCGCGAAAACCCCAAAATAATCGTTCCACACAAAAATACCCCGCTATACATTATAAGAGAGATGCGTTTCAAAGATTTGTATTTGTTTATTTTAATTTGTTTGTTTTTATTTTCATAACCTCAAAACCAATCCGTCCGCGGACGCTAAACGTAGGGAAAAAAACTTGGAATAGTATTATTATGCATTATTTTAAAAGCTTTACGCGGCAACATTGAACAATTACAGGGGTCTTTTATATGTAATCTAAATAAAAAATGAGATGTTAGTATTTACGATCCTTCATCACAATTTGAAGAAGGGCCACCTTTTGTTTCAAGTTAAATATACAGTTAATATTTCGAAAAAGTCTTTATTTTATTCCAAACTAGATGGTGGAGAAAGAAATAAAAGTTTTGATACCTTTACAATGCCTTTTAATCAACCTAGAAATTAGAGTGAATTAATAGCGATTCTCTGTAACCACTTAAACTTTTTTGCCACGCATGGTCACCGATTTTGATGAAACTTTGCCCATTATTACAACTTGACACCAGAAACATATATCAAATAAAATTTCGTTGCTATGTGTCTTGGTTGCCATGGTAAAAGCCAGAAAAGTTGAAAAAAATTGATATTTTCAGCTACTTTGAATATTTATTAAGCCCTAATAAAGACTAAGAAAAACAAACAAACTATTCTCACAAAAACATGACACCTTGTTGCAACTTATGCTGTAAAGAAACTATTTAGAATTTATCTCTAAGTAAGTGGTAATCATGGGTACATTTGGAATACATTTTAGATGCTGAAAAACGCTCAATATACACTAATGATAGATGTTACATGATCAACTCCATCAACAACTAAAGAAAAACGATAAAAATATTTGACCTTAAGTAATTAGGTATTGGCAATATTATTCTAAAAATAACTTTCATGGTTGCCATGGTAACACAGTGTAACCATGCAAAATCTGTTGCTAAGATTGGGTTAATGCTTCTATCTTGAGGAAAAACAATAAAATTCATGACTGGCACATATAAATTTACATCCTTAGGACCTTGCAACACCGACAACATAAGCAAAATTGGAATTTTAAAATTGTTACTTTGCAGTGTAACCATGGAAACAACGTACCAGTTGTTTAAAGTGATATTTTTTTTTTTTTTTTTTTTTGCTGCTTTAGAAATTTACTTACCTTTTAATCAAGGAACATATTATTTGACTCACCTTGAATAGTACTTTTCAGGTAGAACTAAAGTTGAATATCATATATTGATAAAGTTTGTTGAAAAATACAACACTGTTGCTATTGTTATCAAGAAGGGAAAGTGTTCGATTTTGTTAATTTTATATAAATATTAAATCGTATGTGCCAGCTTTTTGCATCCAGTAAGAGATTGGGTGGTAGTCAAAATTAAAAGTCAGCTAGGTTAGTAGTTCATATATATCAATCATAAAAGTTTTGGAAATCTACATACAAGGGTACGTATCCAAGGAAACAGAATATTTTTCAGATTTTTATGCATATTTTTTCGGCTAATTTCCATAGCAACGCTCTATTTAAAGAATTGAATTTGAATTTTGAAATGTAAAAATTAGCTTCACACCAACGCCTTTAAAATTTGATCATGAGTTATATAGAAATATGCTTTTTAAAAAGATAGGATAAGATTAAAACACTAAGAGGGTAAATTTAAAATCCCTTTGTGGTATTAAAACCATGGCAACCATTGCCAACTTATAAGAAATATTATATTTCGTCCTTGGTATATGTTACAAGGATCTCTTTTCTATTACTTGCTTGCATTTCAACCTATAATTGTTTTTATTCTTAAGTGTATGACTTTATAAAATTAAATGAACAAAATTATTACTTTTGAATACTTTGTTTCCATGGTAAGTATGTAATAGTTGATTTACCAAACATGTTTATCATGCATTTAAGACATCAGGCCTTCAACTTTCAGAAACAGTCATTGCCACGTGTTTGCTTTGCTGCAAATGTTAACTGTGGGACTCTGAACATGTTGAAAAATGCCATTTTTCAAAATTTAGGACATGTTGCTATGGTAACCATGACACGAAGCAACCAATTTTTGCCTGATTTGAGTTTACGGTATCAAAGACTTTCATCAATTCATCAATGCAGAGAGGAATCGTTATCTAAGTCACAGGTGCTTGGGCACCTAAAAGGCTAGTTTTATGTTATATTTTGTATTGGGGGGGGGGGGGGTCCCGTCCCCAAGCACCTGTGATCTAGGTATACCTTTTGAAGCATCTCCTTGTTTCTTCTATGTAAAACAACGAGGATTTTCGCATAACAAGCTATGATGACAAGCAGAGGAATCCCGAATGAAGTCAAAACGATTCCCACGACCGTTGCTTTTGATAAATCCGAGTTATAGGAGAGTGCAGGTGGCATCGACAAAACAACAGACACTATAAAGGAAAAAAATGTGAATTTTATGCATCCGTATCAAAGATTCGGAGGCATTAAGTTTTTGCTCTTCCGTCCGTCTGTCTCATTGTCCGCAAAAACTTATAACCTTGCCCAAAAGTTTTGATTGGTTGGAATTATCATATTTCTTGTGACAAGACCTATCTTTGGATACTAACATATTTGACCTCTTGACCTTGGCGTTTGACTCACTTTTGCAAAACATTATCAAACTTTAACCTTGGCCACAACTTTTGAACGGTTGGGGCTAGGGCTTTCATACTTAAAGTGACACCGTGACGGAAAAGCGCGAAAACCGACAAAAGTAGAATTTATGCATGACAAATGCAAATTTTGTTCAGTTCTTGAAAGTAATATAGGTTTCAGAAAATTACAGGTTTCAGAACCTAAAAAATCCACTTTAATGGAGAAAAATAAAAGTAAAAAAATCTTTGTATAACCCAGCACAAAAAGATATGCTTCACTTCTTCCTCTTTATTGTATGCATGCGCTGAAAAGTTCAAGAATTTACCATGGTTTCAATTCCATAGATATATATGTCGGATGACCTAGAATTTTTATACAATCTTCAAAAAAGATTATCAGAACTTATTTTTCACTTTTACTTGCTCCAATTTAATGTTATTTACAAGTTTCACGCTAAAAATAAAGGACGCCAAACCTTGATATTGTGGACATTGACGATAAAAACAAAGGGATCATAGATAAAACATTTGTTTTTCCGGCACTTACATTTTGCAGCTTTTTTCTTCCTTTACAGTGCAGTTGAGTTGCCAAAACCTCGCTATATTCATATTTCACATAAATCTTTTGTTTTGTGATACAACTTTCTTAAAAGAAACACATGATTTTGAATCATTATGTAATTTTAAAGGGCCTGGACTCAGTTGCATTGTTTACATTTTTCACTATATATTTTTATTTAAAATAACTTCAGTTTAATGATTTAAACTTACAAAAATATTCTAAGAATTCAATGACAACGACATTCTCCATAACATCACGTACGTCAAACATCTGTGTTTGTAAACAGGACACGCGCTCTGTTATTCTTAGTGTTGACCTTTTACCAGGTGAGTCTGCACACATCACTGAGCACGGACTGACAATACAGGTGAGTTGGTTTTGCTTTCTCGCATTTCTACTCTGAACTCTCTATATTATAGCTTTCATATTTTCATTAATACACAACGAAATTTCTACTTTTCTTAAGTATTATGGATAAAGTTCACTTTGTGAAAGTGTAAGTATACCGGTGTGTGTCAATCAAACGCGTCCCGAAAATAGTAGTTTTAATTATTTCCAGATAAAAGATTTTCTTAACACGCTTTTAATATATTTCGATGTGAAATGCTCTAGCAACATATATGTCATGATATCATTTAGAATTTTTTTTTTTAAAAATATGAGCTTCAAATCCGTGTTCCAGCCCCTTTATCGTGTATTTTTTCATATAAGACATTTCCTTGCGTATGAATATTTTTGACCTTCTCACCTTGGAGTTTGACCTTCTTTTGTAAAACTTTGACCTTGGCCATAAGTTTTGAATGGTTGGAGCTAGAAATTTTTAATTTCAGGCGTTCATATTCCTTGTGATAAGACTTTTCAAATGGGTACCAACATTTTTTTATCTTTTGACCTTGGAGTTTGAATTGCATTTGAGAAACTATCACCTTTGCTATTAACTGCCATACGGTGGCATCAGTGCTATACAAACACATCTTGTTTGGTACATGTACTCCTGGTTATTTGTTTTATTATTTGAGTATATAAAATTATGCGTCTTAATCGGAGAAAATTTCATGTTGAAAATGATTGTTTTAAGTTTTCATGGTAGATACAAGATTTCTCACCAATCCAGACTCCAGTGAAGACAAGAACCGATGTTTTCGTTGTCCTCCAATTCAGTGACTTCACTGGATACACAATCGCCAGGTATCTGTCAATGGTCATTGCCATCAACGTCCAACACGTCACATGGACTGTTGTCTGTGTAAAAAATTACAACTGTGAACAGCGACATTTTGCTCCATTTTATTTTACGCGACATCTGCCCTTGCCAATTTAAAAAAAGGGAGAGAATTCAACAAAGACAGGTTTATCTCTCTCTTTAAAAAAAAAAAACCAAAAAAAAAAACCAAAAAAAAAAAAAAAAAAAAAAACCTAACTTCACTGAAATGAATAGTTTCTGTTGTTATAAATAACAACTGCAAAAGCGAAGATACATGTATATGCTTTTTAACCTCTATTCCAAAAAAAGCTTTTTTAACCTCTATTCCAGTCGGCCGCGTGGCGCGGTGGTTAGAGCGTCTGCTCTATAGTCGCTGAGTAGGGAGCTGATCCTTTCGTCGCGGGTTCGAATCCAATACGAGACCGGTCCTTCGGATGAGACCGTATAAACCGAGGTCCCGTGTCGCAGTAGGTGTTGGCACGAAAAAGATCCCTCACTGCTCAATGGCTCTGAGTGCCGAGCATAGGTATAAATTTGCAGCCCTCCACCGGCATATATTTATATGAGTGAAAAATTCTCGAGAGAAACGTTAAACAACAAACAAACAAACAAAACCTCTATTTCATCGGCTTAAATGTAGGATTGTTTAAAAAACGCAATTTAACAAAAGTTTCATTCAAAACACAAATATCCTTTAGAATATAGGAAGGCTGAATAATGACTGGTTTTTTTTAAAGCAAAAACTTTGGACCACACCTTCCATTTTGATTTTTGTTTATCGTAAGTTATTCATCATAGACACATATGCTGGTCCTAGGGGAGAGATCTTGGTACATAATATCGGTTGTGGTTACTCAAATAGAGGCTTTAGTATCCCATCTAACATGTAGGATTAGTCTTCAGAATTGTTCATATTCTACTCAGAGACTGTATTGTTTAAATTGACTTTCGAGCATCATCACTGTTCGTTTTCTTCACATTTAATTCTTTACTTACATCCTGCAAAAATTCGACAAAAGGGCGTCCAGCGTCTTCAAACAACGTTGGAACATTGCTCGTGATGGAAGCCAGGGTCAAAGGCACGACTACAGTTAAGAAAGTGAGGTCTGCAATCGCCAGACTCAAGATGTAAATAATGGTCGCCGATTTCACTGTGAATCTGCATATAATATATATGGTTAAAGTATTCCCCAAATCTCCAACAACAACTAACGCTGTCCATATAATGATTAGCGCTATTTTGTCCTCATAAGAGTCCAGCAAAGTCATGGCTCCATTCATTGCTGTGGAATTATCCATAGTTCATGTATGAAAATTAATTAAGTTCGGAATTTGATAACAAACTAACACCTGTTCAAATACTAGTTCTCACTGTTTTGATAAGCAAATGTGCAAATCAAACTAGAAACTAATCCGAAACTTTGATGCAGAATTTCCTAATAAATTCCATGAAACCATCTAAATATACCGGCTGAATTAAGTGTTTTGCATGTATTATGAACAATGTATATCAATTGTTTAGGTACAATAATGATCTTTTGTGTTATTTGTATAGAGTATCCTGTTCTCAATACATTTAATTTTACTTCCGCCAAGGATGATACAATATAGTTTCTGTCTTCATACTATTAAGCCTTCATCCGTGCCATCGAGAAAGACTCTGCAAAGATCTAGTCACGAGGAACATAAAAGCTACGAACGGCCAGAACCTAATCACATTGAACGTATCTGTTCTACCGTTCCCATTGTTGAGACTTATAAATACGGATTCCTTCGTCGTTTTTTTATCTATAGACTGTATGTTGCTTGACCTTCGAAAATATTGCACAATTATATTTCATTTCACTTTGCAGCTCACACAATTAAGCACAAGCGCCTCTACCTATACGTCATACCCCTTAACTTACATTTCCCTTATCCCTTTCTTTTTTCAAACAACTGATGCAAAAAGAACGACGTCATCCTAACAACCAGACATGTCTTAAACTTATTAGGATCCGACACTCTAAATGAAGCATTTGGTCAATTGCTTACATATCATAACTAATTAAGAGTGTTTCGGCAGTATTAATAGCACATGTCATTTCGTATTTGTAATAAAGCCCGACTCGTCAGGAGTGCACCTTATGCATAAATCAATCAATGTTTTTGAACTTCATTTGATTTTTTTAATTTGGATCTGATGATCAGATCACCTATATTCTTGTGTTTACTGTATGCATCCATAGGAGCAGGGGGTGTTGTGAATAAGTCTTTGCATACTTCGTCATGTTGTCTGTAATCCCAATATTTCATAAGTCGTTTCCTTGACCCTTTTATACATGGGTCAAACTTGGTGACCATAACGTTGGGCCTTTTTATCATTTTCACTACTGCAACTAAAAGGCACGGAGGCAACAAAACCCTGAGGATGTACTGAGTTGTACTGAGAAAATACTGAGTGGCACCGAGACTGCTACTGAGAGACTGAGGTAGTTTTGAGTAGCACTGAGGTTTCCACTGTGGTCACTGAGGTAATACTGAGAGGCACTCTGTTGGCACTGAGGGATACTGAGGTGGCTCTGAGGACACTGGGCTGATACTGAGTAGCCCTGAGGTTTTCACTGGGGTTACTGAGGTAATTCTGAGTGACTCTGCGGTCAATTTTCAGATTAATAAAAGCATGAGAACATATCAGCAAATTCAAAGATGGTTTAATGACTTTTTTAAACAGATAAGAATTAAGTAGAGTATTAGAAAATATTGATAAATTTCTTATTATAAATATAAACTCTAATCATTAAGATTTAGTGATTTAATCATTGTATGCAAAGAAAATCAGAAATCAACATTTTTAATGCATTGTTAAAAATTGGTAATTTTTTATCATAAATACTTCATCCTTTAGTGAGTTTTATTAAATAAAAATCCTAACACGTAGACAAGGATTTATTTAATTCACCAATGTAGATCTTATTAAAACATAAAAATTCTACAAATTTGATTATCTATGATTTAGAATAGCCAGCAGTATTCAAATATTTTAAAGTAAATAACAAAATTCATTATACATGAAAATGTAGAGAATGTAATATTTTTATGGAATGTTTAAATTATTTTTTCCTGAAATTTTACATAAAATATTAAATTTTGAAGAGAATTAAAAGTTATGAAATATAAGAAAATCTGCATCTACCAACAAAACAAGTGCACTTTGAGGAAACTTTAAAATTATTAAAAATAATGTTAACTTGCTTCTATTTTGAGTGGCAAGCGTTACAAAATATGTATAGTATCAGGTATATGTACGATGATAACATGACATCTACATATCACAATCATAGTATGAATATTGTTTAACATTTTGCAGTTGTTTTCAGTTTAATTTAAATTTTTCTACAATGTATTTTAAAAGGCTTTTTAGGTGACAGGTACGTTATCATGATTACAAATATCTCCATTACTTGACAGTTTACATTCAAAATTTGCAGAAAATTTTTAGTGTTTCTTCGGCATGTACAGTCGATTTCGAAATTATTTTACTGAAAAGTTAGGACGTTTGATATAAAAACAAAATATAAATAAATAAATAAATAAGGAAATAAACCTTAGAAACGCGCAACGTATAAACAGCGTTTACGTCAAGAACAACGCCTTCGGAACAACGATAGCCCTTTCTGTCTTATTGACTCATATGTATGTCCCCTGTACACTGAAAATAAAATTAACTCTAAAAATTGTCATTCTAGTTGGTAATTGGGGCATGATTTGATCAAATATGTACAAATTCATTCATAAATAGGTGGCAAATTTTGTTAGCTTTACTGTCATCTAATTTCACTAAAGACATGAATGAAAGAAAAAATTCTGGACTTCATCGTGAATATGATACTTTATCATGATTCTTAATTCTTTATTATTAATTATGTTCCATAACTTTTCAATGGAAAAACATTGGAATTTTCTACTTCACACAAATATTACTTATGACCTGAAAGTGTGTCATGACGTCATTCCGACCTTGAAAATTTCAATTTCAATTTCACTGGCAGAAAAAATATTTAATTCTTGTCTAGTTCGTGGATATATTGAAAGTTGATACTTCAAACAAAGATTACTCGTAACCTGAAAAATATGTCATATCCTTCACCCAGTGTTCAAAATAGAAAATCTTTTTAATGGAGAATTATTGGAAGTCTATACTTTACACAAAGATAATTATGACTAGAAGATGTATGATTTTCTTGAAGTAATCTCATTTTGGCAAGTTAATTAGGAAAATGTATAAATGGGTGCCATAAAAATTGCAGGGCGGGGGTAGATAATGGGGGGGTTGTTATAATTTTGTGCGTTATCTCACATTACTTCTAGTTTACATATAGTATATTTAGATTCCACATTTATTTTGCATATAAAATGTGTGGAAAGCGAAAGCATTTAAACACAATAAGATGGACAGGGGTCAAAAGGTTTAAAGTTTGCATTTTCTTTTGACGTCACAAACGTTGAATGCCGTGCAAGTGCAACGTCTCGATCTTGGAAATGGTTGTGGATTCCGTTGCATGTTGGCTCTGGCCAGCAATCAACTGCTCATCCAGATAGATTGCTGGCCAGATCCAACAACCATGCTCAAGATCGAGGTAACTCCAGACAAACTAACAGGAGCATATCCTGGCATGTCAAATATCAAAATCTTTTTCAAATGTATTTCAAACTCCAAGGTCAAGAATTGAAAAAAGTTTAAACCAAAGAATACACCAGTAAAATGTAATAGCCTTGATACCGTACCAATCATTCAGAAAATAAGGCCAAGGTAAAAGTTTTCCAAAATGTAGGTCTTACTCTCAATGTCATAAGGACGGAAAATAATGGTACCAAAGGAAAGGTCTTCTCAGAAGAAATTCATAAGTGGAAAATAGCACCTGTTCAAAAGTAATAAGCAAGGTTAAAGTTTCTTTTTTTAATGCTGATCAAACTCCAAGGCCATGAGTAAAAATAGATGGTGCCTCCAAAACGGGCTTGTCACAAGGAATACACGTGTGATATATGAAAATCCTAGCAACCATAAGTTAGAAATTATGGCCATTGTTAAAGTTTTTCAAAAGTAGGTCAAACTCAAAATCTGAGGTTAAAAATATTGTTACGAAAGGAAAGATCTGGACGCGGTTAAAGCTAAAAAAATTCAAAAATAGGTAAAACTCCAAGGTCAAGGTCAAAAGGTTAAATGTATTGGTACGCAAAGAAAGGTCATGTCACAAGAAATACACATGTGAAAAATAAAAGCCAGAGCAACTATTGTTCAAACTTTATATACAAGGTTAAAGTTTTTGCAGAAAAACAAAAGACAAACGGACGGACAGAGCAAAAACTACATGAATAAGCCCCGATCTTCTATTACGGGTTCATAAAACACAAGAAATTCAATCCACAGTTACTAGTTGTCACAATTCATGCCCATAATTGTTTCCATATATTTTTATCAACATACTGTATAACTAATATTTATTGCCCAGTATCTTCTCTATACTTTTGAGCTTGTTTAGCAGGTTTTACCCGGCGATTTAAATCCCGTACTATTCAGAAATCAGATTGAGCATAGCAATTGACCAGAGCAGTCGTGTTTCAGACAGCTCAAGATTCCCCCTGTATGTACATATGCATGTTTGATATTAACGACCAGAGATCCACCTATTCTACAGCTGTTCAAGGTAAGTTTACTTTACTTATTATTATTAGTTATATGGTTTATAGCCTGTTTTTATTCCTGAGATGGCCACAGAGATTTGTTCTATATTTTCGTAAGTTAGATTCAAAGTAGTATTTGTTCATGTAATGTATATTTATTATAAGTAAGAGTGTATGAGATATACATGAATGCATACAAGTAGATATGGTATATGTACAAAGTATGGCGTATAGTATTCGTCTCAAAGTAAAGTAATTGTCTACAAGTACAACACTTAGTCAATGTGTGAACGTAAAAGAGCTGTAAAGTAAAGTGAGTTAATGAAGTATATGTACAGTGCAGTAAAATGCAACTTTGTATAATGCAGTTAAAGGCAAGTTAGTGTATGTATAATACAGTAAAATGCAAATTATTGAATGTACAGTAAAATGTTGAAGTATGAGCAAAGTGTATTAAAGTATATTATGTCTGTATCTAACTGTACCTGTCTGTATCTAACTATGATTTATGTTATAGGTCCCATTAAGCCAGTTAGACATTTAGGGCCATTCATGCTGATGGTACAATGTGTGTTTGTAAAACCTGTAAATAAAGAAGTCTATCTTATCAAATTGTCTTGTGATATTGAAAATCGCAAGCCACCTGTGACACTAGACAGACTAAACCAATTGCTGAAATTAATTTGCCGAAAATGTCATAAATTTGACTAAGTTTAACAAAACAACAATCTTCAATTTTGTTTCTGGAGTCACTGTTTTGGGTTTTAGCAGAACCAGCACAAGTTTTGTCTTGTCCTGGATACAGTACTACGTATGCTGGAAAACATTCTTCCATGGTTCTACCTTTTCAAGTGTCCAGTTACACGTTCTTGAGTGTTTCGTGTAAGGGAAACTTAGCCATCAGTTCCAAGTCTTGTTTCCCTATTGTCTCGTTCTAAATTTTAAATTTGTTTCCAGTTATGTATTACAAGTCATGAGGCAAATTTTATATTTACCCCTATACAGTTTATCTAAAGTTTAGAAAAGAAGTCCTTTAGAATGGAAGTATCCACCTTTTTTATATACCAAAGAAAACAAAACTTATTCAGCAGTTCATCAATAATTCGTCGATCAATAAGGACGTAGCTCAAGTGTCAGGAGGACCTGCTCGAGGATAAGCCAGTCTGTTGGATTATTAACAAGTCAGTAAAACACGGTTCTACTGCAGGCACATGTATTTCCAGTGGTGTATATTCCTTTCTGCTAATGTGTAGGCTAGTGTGAAGTTACAGATTTAACCTGATGTGGAAAGTATGGGTAGGAAAGGAGCGGGTAGCCCCCTCTCGGTAGGGATTGGGGGGGGGGGGGTTCGAAGTGACCTTTTTTGCGAACTCTAAGACTTCTACAATTGTCATCTACGCTTTGACCAGTGAAAATAATATTGTAAACATTTTTTTTCCCTTTTTTTCATGATATGCAGACCACTTAACAAAATTAAAAACTCTTAACTTATCCTTTACTCTGCTTAGAAAATATGGAAACTTCCTTACTAAATTATCTAAATACGAACGAAACGTTTAATTTCTTATTAACCAAAAATATTTCCAGTAACTTATTTCATTTCCTGCACTAATCATGGATCCTATGCTGTTGTCGATGGTTTTGAAACTGTCTGATGCAGACTTAATATAACAGCTGAATTTTGGGTTTAAAAAAATTCCAGCTTTAGGAAAAGTTTTGTCATTAAATACATGTATATGTAAAAGTACGGATTGCTAAGAATGTTTTTCTGGCATTTGCAACAAAATAAAATTAATAAATTTATAAGAATTATTATCATCTTTTCTACCCTTTTTTCAACCACCTTTTTTTTATCTCTGAGAAAATGTTGTGTAGGCTACAGCCTTACTATCTATATGGAATATACGCCACTGATTTCTTGGACTGATTCAGTGTCGCTGTTGCGGAGACGCAAAGAAGGATTAAGTTCTACCTTGTCCTAATCTTAAGCGTACAAAAGAGCAAGAGCAGATATCTACAAATCCCACCTTCATCAACACATTTTAAAGTTGCAGAACAGATAAAACCATACCAGTAATGAAGGAAATCAATTTTATTCAACAAAACCTGATACCACACAAACTTCTTTCCTTCAGCTTCGAACAATAACCAAGAGTAACTTGAATCCTTTCATGTGATTACAAAGTTGATCAGGACTTCTCAATTTAAGACAACGACAAATTTAAATATCGAATTCTTTCGTTAAAGCTGTTTTGTAACTATATGTATAGATACATAAATTAATTCAACAAGACTTATTTTGTCTAATCCATCTTTCACTCATTCTCAATATCCTATCTGCTATTGTTTAGTTTTATCATTGATAAGTTACATACAATCTTTGTTAATCATTAAGTCCTAGTCGTCGGAACGTTCCGATATAATTTTTCGACTTCCATCCATGGTATATTTAAGTGTCATTGTTGCCTGGAAAGTTTACTCTTATTAATACAGTTGTCGAAAATGCGGTCTTGATGAAGGAGTCCTATTCCGATGACACACATGACATGTCCAAAACAGCAATAGTCAAAGACTCTCTATAGGAGGTCATATCCTTGTAGCAGATTACAAAAACGCTTGTATATATATCTTAGCTCAGAATAGACTGTTCTTAAGATGCAAGATGATAACCGAGAACTTGTTAAAACTGATGTTTTGAGTTTGGATGGTGAGAAGAATTTTTTTTTTTAATTATTATTTTACTTTTTGGGGGGGGGGGGGGGGGAGATTGATTTCTCACGCAGTTTATTTTCAGTCTTAATCTGAAACAAAGCTTTGAAAGTGACCTTACTTTTCTATGTTACAGATGATTATTAGTCATCTTAATTTACTATTACTCAAGTTTACTACGTAAATAATCGCAGTACGAGCATTTTAATTGACATCCTTTCAAGAAATATTAGAAACCAGTGTGACAGATATCCCATTTGTTATTAAGAGCCTTTGCAATGAGACTTAGCCCGAAAAGGCCAGATTCCATTTTTATCACCAATTTTTGCAAATGGAAGCACAGGTTCTTTATTTATTGACTTTCGTGGAAAAGTTACATCCTTATAATTCAACTGTGGCACAGTGTTTTACCAGTGAAGTTCCGGTCACTGTGATCGTATAAATATTTCCTTATGGGAGATTTTGACAATAAAATTATATCCAACCAATTTATTCCATATATATGCATTTCGTTCGAAATCTTGCTGCCAATGCTGTCCTTATCCTCTTATTCATGAACGCATACACAAACGGATTTATGCAAGAATTAGCATATGATAAAGTGTGAGCAAATATTTCAAAATAAAACAACTCCATAGAATGTGGAAAACTTGGATCCAGATTCCTCCACATGAACAGAACTTGTATTGGACCCCAGGAACAAGCAAACAAGAGGATCAAAACAGCAACCATCTTGATCACTCTCCTGGTTTTCTTCATTCTTTTTCTTTCTTCTACCTGTAAAGAAACAAACTATGATTATTTTCGATGATTTAAGACAAAGACCTTAAACAGCTTCAGTATATGTATTCAAACGTTTTCATTCTTTTACTGAACGATCACTGAATATATATTATTTTTATCGCAAATCTTGCTTGAAAGTATACACTACGACCGAAATAGTGATGCGTTGAGTGACGACACTGTTGAATCTGACTGAAATACAATTGAATCTGACTGACACGCCATTGCGATATCCAACAAAGAATCTGATTGGTGCATTTTTATAGGTCCGCCCACATTCTCAAATGTATATTGTCGAAAACGTGGAATGTTTCCAAGAAAGATAGAAAACGGGCAAAAGCGCTTATGTATGTAAGTGGGACGATGCAATACCTTATTAAATGATTGTGAGTGTTGGTAAACTGTAAAATGGTCTTTCAAATAAAATCTCTGCCAGGAATGGCAGGAGTTGACTTCATACTCAGATGATGCATCTTCACATGTACCCGGGGCATATTTCTGCGATTGAAAAACACTGCCGTTTTTTTCCCCGTTTTTCTTCTTCAGTACATCAATAAAATTAAACGTACTTAGATTCGGTGAATATTGTTTAATTATTTTTTTTTAACATGCAAGTATATATGATATTTATTACTTCATAATGAATATATAAATAATATTCGCCGTTGCAGTAAAAATTGCACTGAAAAAACACAAGCATTTCGATTTTTCTGGTCGCTTGTTTATTGCCATGACGGCCGTTAAAATGGGTATGCAGTAGCACACACACATTTGAAACATGGTATTTTTGACAGTTGTGGTAATAAAAACAAACTTTTGAATGAAGTTTGTTTTACCAGCTATGAATATATATATATTTTTCAATAACAAGTGCTCAGGTATCAGCTGGGTATGCGAGATATCCCGGATTCTGCTTAACAATAATACCCGAGTTTTTAATTTGCTTGAGTTTACCTACCCAATGTAATAGTTCACTTGTTTACACTCACTAGGGACTAAAACATAAAAGAAAAAGATTTTTAGTGCGCCGAAAAGTCGCACAGACTATTCAATTTAACGAACACCGAAAATGGAAAATGCGTCAATTTATTGCAGAGGAAATCGGCAGATACATGTAGGATAAAACAGTTTTCGTCATTGAACAATATACATGTACCGTATGTGAAAGGAATATCACATGCTGAAATTATTCTCTTTAGAGAAGTGGACAGGCTTTCGCCTACATCCACTTCTCTTCGCAAGCCTTCATGTTTTGATTCTGGAAAACGTGTAAATCTCGAACCGGTGACGGTCTACACTTCAACTGACATTTCGTCTAAAATACGTCTGAATGTACGTAATAGACGTGTTATATTAACAATTCTAACATAAATACACACAATTGTCACAAGAAAACTGACCTTTAAGTATTGTTAATCCATTTTCACAAGTTCTCCATCCCGGATTTAAATTATGTGCAAGTAACTCTTGAAGTATTCAAAAATCTCTAATTCGGATAAAAATGGAAACTATTTTTACAAAATAATAATGAAACGAGAGAAATCGTTTACTCTGTTTAAACTAACGAGACAGTATTTCCTCAAGTTTCGTTCAAATTCTTTTGATCTTTGTTTAAATTTTTTTCATTTCTCGGGAAAGGTAGAGTTAATATCGTTTAAAAATAAAAGAAAATTTTTTTTTAGTATTGTCAGTGTGGAAATAATGAAGTATTTTTAAAGCTCAAATTTACATTTAAATTGTATTAAAATAGTAAAAATAAGTAAAGGTAATAAAGTTAATTTTGAATAATAAGCTAAATCAGAAGTGAATTGTCAAACACTTTTTTTAACATTAAAATACGTCTTCGCCAATTTTTCCAAATTATCCGACTTAAAATTTTCAATTTTTTCTAATAAGCTGTGGTAGATAATCATTAGTTTAAATCCGGGATGGAGAACTTGTGAAAATGGATTAGGAATACTTAAAAGTCAGTTTTCTTGTGACAATTGTGTGTATTTATGTTAAAATTGATAATATAACACGTCTATTACGTACATTCAGACGTATTTTAGACGAACTGTCAGTTGAAGTGTAGACCGTCACCGGTTCGAGATTTACACGTTTTCCAGAATCAAAACATGAAGGCTTGCGAAGAGAAGTGGATGTAGGCGAAAGCCTGTCCACTTCTCTAAAGAGAATAATGCTGAAATATGATTTTATGGTTTGTTTCTTTTTTCTTTAGTTCAAAAAGTCAACGTTAGCTTTCAACCATCAAACATGGATTGGCTAGGCCGTTGGACGCTTTCCAAATATATTTAGCAAAGGATACCGCACGAGAGTGGGCGGGTCCTAATCCACCAATTAAAATGCATGTTTTATAAAATGCAACCCGTGATTCAAATTGTTCAATTATCAAATCCAATAGTGTCATCACTCAACGCAACGCTATTTCGGTCGAAGTGTATACTTTCAAGCGAGATTTGCGATATTAATAAATCATTACAATACTTTATATCTGTGAGGATTTGGCGTTCTATTCTTTATATTAATTACCAAATTAAGAAGCATATTAGCTCGTATAATGTCCCACTGGAGTGTCTTTGAATACCTGTCAGCTTTGAACAATCGTTTTGACTGTAATTCGCAAGAAAGAAATGTAACGTCACTTGCACAATAACAAAGTGACCCGAGGGTCATATTGTTATGATCCATAATCACAAGTTTAAGGAGAGTAAATTTTTATTAAATTTAAATGTTTCGATTAATATTGCTTTTAAAGCAAAATATTCATCTTTAGGAAAAAATAAGATAGGCCACATTTTAACTTGTATCCACTCTTATGTAAGTCTTCCATATACTAAATGCATTACCAGTCTGAAATTACAGAATTTAATTAATGAAGTAAATTATGTTTATTTTAAAAGAGGGGGGATGTAAATTTTGGCCCACGATTGGAACTTTTTAAATTTATTTTCAAAACAACAAATATTATTATTTTAGTGCATAGCGTTTTTGATAAACTAAATAAAAATTAGCTGCCAACTTTTAGGTATAGAAAAGGGACCCGGGTAAAATAATCTGAAATGTCAATGGTTAGGTTTGTCATGTTGTAAATTTTGTATTTACTGCCACCCTGTAAATTCAAAATTTAGAACTTGACATATTAAAGCAAATCAATGGGGGTTATTCCATTCCCTGGATATGGAAACAATCAAATAGCTTTAAATAAAAACCCCAAAGTTCTCTTTGTACCCCCTGTCCCTGAAACGACAAAGGATCATGTACCTCAAAAATGAATGAAAACTGTTTCCCTGGACCATATATAATTTTGTTTCTTGTGTCATTATGTATCTAATGGTATAAAAGTTATGAACCCTTGGAGGTCATCACCATCCCCTTGAAGTTGAAATGTTCACAATATGACCTGCATCCAATTCAAAAGTGCAACAATGATAAGATTGCATGACATTCCGTACATGATTTTGGGTCAACCACCCTTCTAGAATTAGGAATGAAATTCATTCAGAGAGACGCACTATTAAACTTTGTGCACATTTTTGTATATTATCACATTTTTTATGTCAAAACAAAGTATTGGTTTGCATACATGAACAATCTGGGGTCTGGGAAGGGGAAAAGGGAAAGGAGTTATCTTTTTATGTCTTTTCATGTCTTAATTGTTGAAAACTCCTAAAATCTGTGAATATTAATTAACCCCACTTCTCACTTGTCATCATTATTAACACTTCTCGCAACTTTATTAGTCAATAGATATAGATAAAAGTCATACTATGGTGTTATATTATACATTGTCAGCTTTGAACTATTATGAAAACAAAGCATAAAATTGCTTTTAAAATATTGTAGTTCTTTCCGAGCACTTGCGATCATAAGTTTTTAGCATAAGGCTATAGACCTGGTGTATTTATTCTCTTTCCTTTTTTCTTTCTTTCTGACATCTACTTGGGCCAAAAATTAAAATGGAATAATATCAGAATTTTTTTCTAAATTGATCAAATTTCTAGGATTTTATACTGTGTAATTCCTTCTGCAGCTAGAATGATACCCCTCACAGATGTGTAAAAAAAAAAAAAGTTTACTCACAATTATTTGATCTACAACAAATTATAAAAGGTCACAGCCAAAAGTCTTTATTGCAGCCCGGAGGACCGGGCTGCTCTATGCATATAAGTTTAAGTGTTGGTATATGGGGATTGAGGTGGGAGAAGTTATTCAGAATTAAAGGTTTTCTAAACATTAAAAAGATTGTTAATCAGAATGTTCTTTCCCTTTATAAATTACGAGATACACAATATATTTACTTCCATGAAGTGAATCTGTAAAAATATATATGTTTTTCATATTTAATATACAAAGTTGCTTATCATTTACTATCGAAAAAACGACAGGTCCCTTTTTTTAGAACATCGAATTTTACTTATCGCATAAAAACGTAAAAATGTACTTTACACAGTTCGTGTTTTATATTCTTAAAGTGAAAGATATTTTTGAAAATAGGTGATGCATGTGTCTGGTTTCAAATTATATTTTATGAAGCCAACATTTACTTGTGGAATTGATAAAGTTTAAAAGAGTATCGTTTTTGTTCGATTTTCATCCGACTATAAGTTTTCAAAATATTCTCGACTATCGTCTCCATCATTTAGACGCATGCCTTTTTCACACATATCGAAGCGGTTTGATGATAAAGACTCATTTCCATTGTTTACTTTATTTATTTCCCGGGCGATAATTGATGGTTACATCAATGTTTTCTTGTCATGATTTGTTATGAATGTCACATGGAACTCCTATTACTTAAGAACATGAAAGTTCTTCACTTACATCCCTTAGAAAATACACGACTGTGTTCAGAGTATGCAAGAATGAATTAAATTATGCTTAATAATTTGAAAACAACTCACTGAAGCCTCAACTGATTTTTTGAGGCAGGTAAACCTACCCCTCAGGGTATTATTATCATACATGAGCCTCTACAAAAGTTTTAACTTATGTGAAACTTCATGATATAGTGTTAATTCAAGTTTGTCCAAATCATGACTTCTGGGAACCAAAGTCTTTTTGTATAGAAAATGTCATTTTTCAACCCCTATTTGACCCCAAGGGTGAAAATGAAAATTCCGAAATCTAATTGCACATCTACAGGACACGACCAATCATCTTCCAAAAGATGGATAGGCTACTGCGTAAAATGTAAGAGGAGTTCTGGGAATCAGTTTTTTGAAGATAAAGTGTCATTTTTTGGCCCCCGTTTTGCCCCTTGTGTAATATTTTAAATTCTTAAAATTTATTGCATATCTACAGGACACCATCTATCATATTCCAAAAGATTAATTGGTTACTGCTTAAAATAAAAGAGGAGTTTGAGGAAAAAGAAAGTGTAGCAAACGGACGGACGGATGGACCAGGGTTACAATATCCCCGAATTTCCTTTAGAACATGCGGGTATAATCACTCACATGCCGGATGCCGGTGAGGGGCTTCAAATTTAGACATTAACTTATTATTCAGGCACAATAAAAAGTGAAGGTTGTAAGCGTGCCAACGCCTATCGTGACACAGAAACTCGGTTTTTAAGAATGGATCTGTTCATAAAAATCTGACTGAAAATAAATATGATTACATGAGTTCGATTTTTTTTTCATTTCAAAACATATATCTGATAAACAAGAGGGAATTAATTAGGTATACCTTTTGAAGCATCTCCTTGTCTCTCTTGTGTAAGACAACAAGAATTTTTGCATAACAAGCTATGATGACAAGCAGAGGGATTCCGAATGACGTCAGACTGACTCCCACACCCAATTCATTCGACAACACCGATTCATGGAGGACTGCATATGGTATCGACAAAACAACAGACACTAAAACAATAAATAGAAATATTATTGCTTTTTCAGTCTCTAACTGCTTAATAAATTGATGTATACAAAATAATTCATCTTTATCGTAGAACTGTATTTTCAAAATTTTCTTGCTTTTGATGACCGATGACCCAGTTAACAAAAAGAGGAAAATTTCATTCGGTAAAAGTTTGATTCTGAATCTATAGTTGAGAAGCATATTTGCAAGATTTCTCACCAATCCAGACTCCAGTAAAGACAAGGACCGATGTTTTCGTTGTCCTCCAATTCAATGACTTCACTGGATACACAATCGCCAGGTATCTATCAATGGTCATCGCCATCAACGTCCAACACGTCACATGCGCTGCTGTCTGTGTAAAAGTATCTATCGTTATCAACATCGTCAAACTTACTGTAACGAATATAATTTCTATGTTGGTTTTTCTTTAATAATCACTTCTTTTAGGGTGAAAATATCAATAGCTTTCAAACTTTATTTCATCAATTCAAAACACAGGATTTTTATTTCATTGGCAACAATGTTAACATGGAAGAAAGATTTATATAGAACACATTTATCCTTTTGAATCCAGCAAGGCTGTATAATAGCTGGAATCTTTCATTTGAGCAGAAACCTCGGACAAGAGTACCAATTTTGATTTGTTTGTCGTCAGTTATTAATGTCACAGACACGCATTCATACTCTTTGAGGGAGATATTGGAACATAACATCAGTTGTGGTCATTTATGTAGAGGTTTCTCTTAGCATAAAATATCTAACAGGGAATTATATTTTTGAAAACATTTTACTTACATTCTGCAAAAATCCAACAAGAGGGTGTAGGTCTATAAGCAACGTCGGGAGGTTGATCGTGATACCAACCAGGGCCGAAGGCACCACTACAGTTAGGAAAGTGAGGTCTGCAATCGCCAGACTTAAGATGTAAATAATGGTCGCCGATTTCACTGTGAATCTGCATATAATGTATATGGTTAAAGTATTCCCCACATCTCCAACAACAACTAACGCTGTCCATATGATGATTAGTGCTACATTGTACTCATTAGAGTCCACCAAACTAGCCTTGGTTCCGTTCATTGTGGAATTATTCATATTTCATGTATGAAAATTGATTAAGTTAATTTGGAATTTGTTAACAAACTAATTCTGTTCAAATAGTAGCTCTCTCTATTTTGTTAAGCAAATCAAACTAGAAACTAATCCGAAACTTTGATACAGAATTTCCTAATAAAGTCCTTGAATCTAAATATGCCGGCTGAATTAAGTGTTTTGCATGTATTTTGAACAATGTATCATTCGCTTACATACAATAATGATCTTTTGTGTTATATGTATACAGTATCCTGTTCTCAATATATTCAATTTTGCTTCCGCCAAGGATGATACAATATAAGTTTCTGTCTTCATACTATTAAGCCTTCATCCGTGCCATTGAGAAAGACTCTGCAAAGATCTAGTCACGAGGAACATAAAGGCTACGAACGGCCAGAACCTAATCACACGTTGAACGTATATGTTCTACCGTTCCAATTGTTGAGACTTATAAATACGGATTCCTTCGTCGTTTTTTATCTATAGACTGTATGTTGCTTGACCTTCGAAAATATTGCACACTTATATTTCATTTCACTTTACGGCTCACACAATTAAGCACAAGCGCCTCTACCTATACGTCATACCCCCTAACTAACATTTCCCTTATCCCTTTCGTTCTACTGATGCTGATGCAAAAAAAAAAAACCAAAAAACAAAACAAAAAACAAAAAACAAACAAACAAAAACAAAATAAACAAAAAATTTTTTAAAAAACGACGGCATCCTAACAACAAGACATGTCCTAAAGATAAATAACACAAACTTTTTTTTTCACAAATCAACAATATTTCTCATAGATTTATATTCAAATAGGTAACCTGAATAATATTAGTCAGGTAAAGTGGGAAAATTTTGTAAGGTTTTGTCACAATGTTAAACATATGTACAAAATTTTGTATAGAATTACATTGAAAAAACCCCCAAAAAGTCACTTATCTAAATACCAAAGAAAACTTAAGATTTTTTTTATATTCTAGGGATTTATTATTTATGTCATTTCTAATCAAAATCAGTCAAAAAAAATATATATATATATCAATCCATGCATCAAATATTTGTCTGTGTTATGTATCCTTAAACGTATTGGAACCCGTCTATCTAAATGAAGCTTTTTGTCAATTACCTATATTTCATAAGTAATAAAGGGTGTTTTGGCGGTATCAATAGCACATTCATTTCATATTTGTAATGAATCCCGCCTCGTCAGGAGTTCACCTTATGCATATATCAATCAATCTTTTTGTACTTCATTTGATTTTTTAATTTGGATCTAATGATCAGATCACCTATATTCTTGTGTTTACTGTATGCAACCATAGGAGGTGTTGTGAATAAGTCTTTGCATACTTCGTCATGTTGTATGTAATCCCAATATTTCATGAGTCGTTTCCTTAACCCTTTTATACATGGGTTAAACTTGGTGACAAAAACACTGGGTACAGCCTTTTTATCATTTTTCTTCTTTGATTTTTTCAGAAGATCCATTCTATTTGCAGAAAGAGTTTCTTGATAAGATCAATTTCTGATTGTTTATAACCTCTTTTTTAGAGATGATTTTTGAAATCTTTAAAGATAATTTGTAGTACAGCTTGATCACTTGTATTTCTCAGCTGTCTGGTACATTCGCCTTTAATATGGTCCTTGAAAACTGATGGGCACTTTGCATGTGCAGGTATTGGAAGCTGTTAGGTTTGATATATGAGCGAATGTGTAATCGCTGGCTATCTGAGAACATTGTTCCTTTGTAAATTGTAGTGTCTAAGAAAAAAATGGAGTTATGTTTTCACTTTTCACACTATATTTGTTAGAAAAATCACGGAAATTCATTTCAAATCATAGTAAAAATTATGTAAAAAAAAAAATCATTATTTTATCGTGATACATGTGTACTTTTGGGGAAAATCGTGATATAAATCACGATACAAAAATTTTGGCGATACCTATAACTATTGTTCAATGATCATTTTCAGTAAATCTGTCAGTTTAAATAATCTGTTTAGCTAAAATATACCTCAAAGAAAGCTCGAATATTGTCTATCTCTACACGGACTGCAGTTTTTAGGAGCTAAAAGTAAAGACAAACCAGAAAAAAAAGTTTAAAAACACCGATTTGATTGTTTGATTGTTTGTTTGTTTTTTTCAAAGTGTCAATTTCTCTGAAACCTTCGGGCGCGGGTGACGTTAAATGGACATCATTATCAAGAACAGCAAGCCCATGGTGATCCATATTAATATGGAAGCATCATCATATAGTTTAGATTCAACTTTTTCCAATTCTTGATCCCTGGGGTTAGAGTGGGAAAAAAAATCTATGCTGATTAAGAACAGCAGGGCCAACTGAGATAATTCAGGTGAGCGTCGTGGCCCATGGGCCTCTTGTAAAGAGGACATGTATTAGAACATAAGAAAAGGTAGTAGGATTGCACCGTATTTATTTCATTAATTGGTTATTAACGTCCAAATTCAGTAAAGTTTTAGTCACAAACAAAAAAAAACCCAACGTTTTTAAAGTGCTTGATTAATATGTAAAAGGGATGCGTTATTTAAAAAAAAAAAAAATAAAGGTAAATTAACCTGCAGAAAAAATCACTATGAAATATTTTATTATATTGTAATATATTATTTTGAAATACATGTATATGCATAGAAAAGTGAGTACTAGATCTTGTTGGACAAATAAATTATACTCTTAGTCAATATATTTCATTAATTCAAATCGCAGAATTAAGAATATGAAAAAAAAAACAGTTTCCAGATTAGTGCTAATTAAATGAAAATTTGTAATATCTCATTGTCACAAAAGTACAGTGAATTGCATTACGAAATTCTATAGCTATGAAACCTTTGATGCCTTCCATGTTAAAATTATATAATTCTTTGTTAAAAATATATTGATTTGGAAGGTCTTCTACGAATGCATTTTTTTTAATTCCAGTATATATAGTCTAGAATTCAAAATTTCCATTTTTTATTCCCCCGTGATCAGATTCAGTTTTTGTTCTGTCCTTCCGTTTGTCCGCAAAAAAATTAACCTGGTCATAACTTTTGATTGGTTAGAGCTATGGCTTTCATATTTCACAGGTGTATTCATTGTGACAAGACCTCTCTTTTGAGTACAAACGTATTTGACCTCTTGACCTTGACGTTTGACTTTTGAGTTTACCCTACTTATGAAAAACTTTAACATAGGCTATAACTATTGAACGGCTCTTGCTCTAGCTGTTATATATCACAGATTATTCCTTGTGACAAGACCTTTTCTTAAGTACCAAGCTTTTTAGCCTTGGAGTTTGACCTACTTTTGAAAATTTAACCTTGATCATAATTTCTGAATGGTTGATGCAAGGACTTTTATATTTCGAAGGTGTATTTTTTGTGATAGGACCTTTTTTTGGGCATCAACATTTTTAATCTCTTAATTGACCTTGAACCAGGGACCTATATACTAGTATATAGGTCCCTGCTTGAACCCATTTTTGGAAAATCTAACCTTTGCCATTAGCTGCCATATAGGGCATCAGTGTTTCATAAACACGGTTATCAAGCATTCATTTGAAACCATCAATGTTGCCATTAATTTAATTTATCATGACGATTTCATAATGTTCTAGTTATTTTTTCAAATGATCATCTTTGTGAATTATGTAATGAAAACTGAATTTAGGCGTTTTTATGCATTGTTTAATAAATTAGTTAATCAAATGTTTAATTATGTAAAAAAAAATGTAAAACTTCCTACTAATATATACATTTTTTTTTATCATAAAATAAAATATTTTAGAATAAAGATAAATGTTGAAAGTACCTATCAAGTATCAACATCCCACTGGATCCGCCAATTCAATATTGAAAAGTAGTTCTTTTGGACTTTGGACCTAATTAATTTGATCAAATCACGTATCATCGACATGTCTACGCTGAAAAACAGCTATGTTTGAAATGACCAAAAAAAAAAGTTATAAGAAGAGCATAATTGCATTTTTGTGAAAATTAATTGATATTTTAGGGAGGTCATTCTACCCCCAAATGTTTGTTTACGCACTTGCTGACATCAAAATAGTTACGCCTAAGAATATTCACGTTAATGCGCACCAAATAAAATTGAAGACGATTTTCGAATATCAAGTTTGCTGCATTAAACGGAAACAAATGTATTTCAAATACTTGTACCATTTTGATCATTCATATGCAGGGATAGAAAAAAAATTTGCTTAATAATTAGAACTATTTTTTCTCGCGAATGTATATCCGCCTTGATACAACCGGGGATTATTCATAACAGAAAATGGTTTGAAGAAAAACAAAAAATGTGTTTGTAAGGACAGATCTGATCTCAAGGAACAGTCATAATGTTCAAAATGGCTTGTAAAGGAAAACTTATTAATAAAGCGTTATATACGACGCTAATGGTTGTGATTTGTCTTCAGTTGGTAAGTAAGACTAACCTGTCATGTATGACATTCCTGACATGTTTTGTTTCACGTAAAGTTGTTCATAACCACAGCGTTACAGGTTAAAAATGAACCTATGTAATTTATTCTTTGAAAAGTGAATCTTCTCATCACAGAAGATGGTGTGATTCTATTCTCTATTGAGAAGTTGATGGCTCGTTTTAATACTCCCCCTCAACTTCTCTACGAAAGGCCTAATAAATTTCAGTTCAGAAATTGACTAAATGAAGAACCCCAACCGGGTCCCACTTCGATCGGTGTTTTAGGATTGATGCATTATCATTGACATATTTTGGATGCACAGATGTTGTTTTGCAATGGTAATGCGATTAAAAAAATACTGATTCTGCTGACTTAAAAAAAATTCATCACGGTAGAACACTTACTTGCGATATCTGTGTCACCAGATTCGTTTATTCATTCAAAACTGTGTTTGTACCCGGTTGACCTCTAAGAAAGTCGAAAACTTTTTATCGGGATAAATTGGATTAAATGTTTCAGTGTTAAATAGTTATCCGGAGAAATAGTTTTAGACTTTTTAGAGGTCAACCGGGTTCAAATGCAGTTTTGAATGAATATACGAATCCGGTGATACAGATATCTTAAGTAAGTGTTCTACCGTGATGAATGTTTTTTAAGTCAGCAGAATCGGTATTTTCGATCGCATTTCCATTGCAAAACAACATCTGTGCATCCAAAATATGTCTATGATAATGCATCAATCCTAAAACACCGATCGAAGTGGGACCCGGTTTTGGTTCTTCATTTAGTCAATTTCTTAACTGCTTTTATTAGGCCTTTCGTAGAGAAATTGAGGGGGAGTATTAAACGAGCCATCAACTTCTCAATAGAGAATAGTGTGATTCCTATCCCTATGAGTTGAAAACTCTAAGATCTTGCATTTGTTAAAAGAGTGGTCAAATAATGCATAACAAAAAAAAAATTATAACGTTAGAAATTGTACTTACAAAAGTTAACATTAATATTAGTTGCATGAACAATTTTCTCGAGTGGGTATAATATGTGTCTTGATTGTTAAATTGATTTTGAGTGTTAAATTGATTTTGGAGAAATAATAGAACATTCAATCTAGGATGATGCCTTGGGCTACAAGTCCTGAGTGAAAATACAATACATTTGGAATATTTTGAATTGAAAATATTTTGCTGCTAAGTGTAAACTACATCAAACTTTTCCTAGCATTAAGAATTTCACACTGATTTTTTATTAAAAGTATTCCCATAGCTCTTTCCCTGGTTTCCCTTAGCTTTGTTTCTGTTTAGAAATGCTGTCATATTCATATCTTTTTTTCAGCTCAGTACACTGGAACGACAAGTGTTTGATTTTCTGGGGTATATGTGGGCGCCCATTATTGCCAACACAGTTCAGATCATCTGTTGCATTTTAGGAATTTTTGGAACATATCAGATGAAAGCTCAGTTTGTAGTAGTGGTAAGTAGACTGAAAAGGATCAGTAGTAAAGCAAAAAAAAAATAAAAAAACAAAAAAAAGAATTTATTCTTGTTTCTAGTTCAAGGGGTCTCCAAGCAGGAAAAAATAGGAAAAGAATGTCAGGATATTTTTCTCTGACATGTAAAAAATTGGTACAGAATAGATTTGTGGTAAATTGATTCCATCTATGTTTGACTCTATACCATTAAGAGCTTTGGAAGGTATTCTCTGTTCTTTTTATAAGCATATTGCTGTATTTCGAATCATATTCATTATCAAAAAGCTTGTTCCTGTTGACTTGTGATCAGAAGTAAAATTTTAAGTTTTATTGAATGTTTTTATGGTTATATGGTTAAAAGTTAACTGCGGGTCACTCTGGAGGCAGAAAATAAGACCAGCGTTTTTTCCCTTATATAATTGGTACCGATAAATGGTACCATTCCCAGTGCCAAAAAACGTTAATTTTTCCTATTTTTGAGACTAAAATTTCCCAATTCCACTGCCAAGCAACAGACTACGATGACTGTCACATTGTATTTCTTTTTATACAAAACAATGTACAAGTTGACTAATAGTTTTACTTCCGCTTAAAGTAGAGACTAGTCGTAATATGGTGGGACCTGTTGTGTAGACAGCGTAGTGACATACATTTTGACAAATTGAAAGCTTGAAAATGTGAAAACAAGGGACATTGATATGAAAACATTAAATACTTGTTTATTCTTTAAAACATTGAGTAATAGGTAATGAGGTTGAAATAAATGCAAAATATGTTTCATTTGTTTAAAAGACAGAAAATTCTCCTTTGTTCTACTTCAATGCTATTTTTCCCAATTGAACCGGTACCGGACCCTTTCCCAGTGGGTAGAAAAAAATTGCTAAAGACTGTGTTAGACTTTCATATCAATTATTGTGATTAATGAATCGAAGTGAATTTTTAATGTAAGACTTATTTTTTGAAGTTATATGGAAAATATATTTGTAATAGTTCCTAATAAAAACGTGTGAATGTTTTGGGAAGATACATGTACATTACTATCGTACATTGTGGACTGATACCTAGACTATTAAAGTTTTACTCTTCTTATATTATTCCTCTTCTCTTCCAGTATTCAACATGGTCATTAATGTGGTTAGGATGGAATATATTTGTCATTTGTCTGTACTTAGAAGTTGGTGTTCTAAATAGAGTAAGTATAAAACTTATAAACACAAACTTCAGCATCTACAAAATATACTCTTTGTTGACACACTTACTTGTATAAGTAATGTAATTACAGGGAGGAAAATGTTAGGAACATGTTCTTTAATCAAGGGGCAAAATATATTTGTGCTAATGAAGTGGACTATGACATTTACAATAAAATATGTGTAGGTAAAATGTTTATTGTTTCATTCATTTATGTAAAGGAAAAAAAAAATTGTATGAAAGAGAAAAAAAATCAGTAGATTTATTCAAGTTTATTTTTTTGAATTTGTTCACAGAACAGAGATTTGTTTATATTAACCATTGGTACTAAGAACAAGAGTTGGTGGTTAGAACATGGAATCGGATGTAAAATCACTAATGACACATGGATGAGTGATAATCCGGTGAAGACTAGTCGTCTTATTCCTCCCGAGGAGGCAGTGGAAGGATGTCTTCTGGATTATTACTATGTGGAAGTTATCCATGCAGGTGTCCAGTGTCTGTTAGCCGTAAGTCAGATTTACATTTGATGTCATATTGGAAATTTTACTCACATGTTTTTTTGATTTTCTAAGGGGTTATTTGACTTAAATCTGATGAATATCAGTTTGACATTTTATTCTATTGTTGAATTTGTTTCAATTCCATATGTATACAATATATAAGTGAAAGGAATATATATTTGAGGTTTATGATGAATTTGACAGAATTCATTTACATTCATTAACATGATAAATATAGACACATTGAAAGATTGATTTTTGTTTTAAAATTATAATCTTATCAAAAAGCCAAAAAAATTCTTTAAATCTATAAATATTATGTAAATATTATGTAAATTAAGAGAGTATGCCTACATGAGGAATTGTTAAACTGTGATTTTACATATTGACCTTCTTTTTTTACAGTTGATTGGGTTCACTTCTTCATGTGTCAGCATATCCGCATTCAATGAAGAAGAAGAAAGTTGTAAGTACCTGGCATATTCTAGCACATATCCACGACTGGGCACCCTACGCCGTAGCTACTCTGCCCAGTCTTATCCTACACTGTATGTTAGAGATAGCTGGTGTTTGCCCACCTATGTCTCCTATTCTGATGGTTTGGATTGGTCACATGACACACAAGCCACGCCCCGTATGTCACAGACCTCCCAATTGTTGATTGAGCAGTATGATGCTGAAGTTTAGGGTGTTACCAGAGAGGTGTGTCAGGGTATTTGTTGTAGATCTTTTGCATTGCTACCTGGCAGCTGCTTGGTGCTCTGTCCCTTCTTATTGTCTTTATGTTGTAAGTGATTTCTTTTTCTCCCTTTCTCTTGTGGACCTTTAGTTGTTGTCTTATCAGAAATTTGGAGGGTAGGCCAATAGGGTAGTGCTTAAGCTTGTCTTGCAGAGCTTTAATAAAGAGATTGGGTGAAATTCAGATGCTTTCCCATTGTCTGTCATCTTCTCTTTTCTTCTTACTCAGCTAGAAAAGAGTTTTTTCCAAAAAAAAAAGTCATTGAAAGCTATTTTAAAAAAAAGAACAAAACAATTCCCACACATTTAATTTGTAATAAAGTGGTATAAAGCACTCAACTATATACATAAATAATAAATATGAACTTTTATGTGGAAAACCCATTTAAGGCGTCCTGTGAAAGAATTGTAAAAGGCAATGCATAGAAATAGTACAGTTAGTTTTTTTTTTCTAATTGGACATTCTTTGGTATTAAGTTAAATGGATGAAGAGGAAACTGCATGTTTTGTTTTAGGTAGAGATTTAAAAATACATTTCCTGTTACTGTTATAAGTACATGGTACTGTATGCACAAAATTATGTTGTTGTTTTTCAGTGGATCCAAGACCACCGGGATTTATTACTAAATTAATGAAAAAAGCAAAATTGGTACATTACACACTTTTTAATTTTTGTTTTCTTTTTATTAAGTTTGATTTTTTCATTCCAATTTATGAAAAAAGAAACTTGTATTATTCTGAATTTTTTCTCTCTGTGTTTTCCCATGTCTGACATTACTTTTATTTATGTTTTTTAAGTCTGAAATTATTTTCATTAAGTTTTGGTAAACTGGATACCTTTTGGATTGGCTAATCTTTTCAGTTGTTTGTATTTGTTTTATTATACATGTAGCTGAAGCATGTACTGGAATTCAATAAACATTTTCTTTCAAATAGTTTTCAAAAGGCTACATGAATACAAGAATCTAATTTTTTTTCCTCCTTTCCTCTTATTTTCTACTTATTTTCTGTTCACACAAATTTTAAAAAAAAGTCTTCGGGAGACTCATAGTTGCATGTTACAAAGTTACCAGCATGACAAGAGTTGAAAGTGGACAGTAATTGGCAGGCTGATCAGTGGGGTTTTATTCACACTGGCAGTGCAAATGAAGGGCACCATGGTGTAGATGGACTTTGTTAATTCAGTACAGTTGTACTTGTGTTGCTATGACATTACACTTTAGTATCCTCTTTCAGTGGAGTTCATTGGTGGCTTTGATTCTATGTCTTCCTATCATCAGCATCTTAAATCTATTTTTGTGTAGGTAAAATGTTCACAATATTATATTTTCTTGTTGAAAATGTTATTGTTTTTTAAAATGTTATGTTTTCTTGTTGAAAAAAAAGATCAGCCCATTATTAGGTCACCTGAGTCACTCAGGTGACCTATTGCTATCTGTTTTTGTCCGTCGTCGTGCGTTAACTTTTGAACATTTTTAACTTCTTCTCTAGAACCGCTCAACCAATTTCAACCAAATTTGGTATATAGCATCTATGGGTGAAGGGGAACAAAAATTGTGAATTTCATGGTCCCTGCCCCCCCCCCCCCCCCCCCCCGGGGCCTGAGGGGTGGGGCTAAAACCACCAAAAATAATGCAATCTTTAAAAATCTTCTTCTTTACTCCCAGACATGAAGCAGTCAAACTGTTGGCATCATTGTAATAAGCATTGAGCCCTCTACCAAAATTGTGAAATTCATGGCCCCAGGGTTAGGGGTTCTGGCCCCAGGGTGGGGCTATATAGATCATATAGTGAAAGTGCATAAATTCTTTGAAAATCTTCTTCTCTGCTCCTGGGTATTAAATAAAATTACTAAGTACATAGTTATGATAAGCAAGACTGTCTCTTCCAAAATTGTGAAATTCATGGCCCCAGGGTCAGGGGTTCTGGTGTTAGGGCGGGGCTGTATTGATTATATAGTGAAAATGCATTAATTCTTTGAAAATCTTCTTCTCTGCTCCTGGGTATTAAATAAAGGAACTATTAAGTACATAGTTATGATGAGCAAGAGTGCCTCTTCCAAAATTGTGAAATTCATGGCCCCAGGGTCCGGGGTTCTGGCCCCAGGGTGGGGCTATATAGATCATATAGTGAAAGTGCATTAATTCTTTGAAAATCTTCTCTGCTCCTGGGTATTAAATAAAGGAACTAAGTACATAGTTATGATGAGCAAGACTGTCTCTTCCAAAATTATGAAATTCATGGCCCCAGGGTCAGGGGTTCTGGTGTTAGGGTGGGGCTGTATTGATTATATAGTGAAAATGCATTAATTCTTTGAAAATCTTCTTCTCTGCTCCTGGGTATTAAATAAAGGAACTAAGTACATAGTTATGATGAGCAAGAGTGCCTCTTCCAAAATTGTGAAATTCATGGCCCCAGGGTCAGGGGTTCTGGCCCCAGGGTGGGGCTATATAGATCATATAGTGAAAGTGCATTAATTCTTTGAAAATCTTCTTCTCTGCTCCTGGGTATTAAATAAAGGAACTAAGTACATAGTTATGATGAGCAAGAGTGCCTCTTCCAAAATTGTGAAATTTATTGCCCCAGGGTCAGGGGTTCTGGCCCCAGGGTGGGGCTATATAGATCATATAGTGAAAATGCATTAATTCTTTGAAAATCTTCTTCTCTGCTCCTGGGTATTAAATAAAGTTACCAAGTACATAGTTATGATGAGCAAGAGTGCCTCTTCCAAAATTGTGAAATTCATGGCCCCAGGGTCAGGGGTTCTGGTGTTAGGGTGGGGCTGTATTGATTATATAGTGAAAATGCATTAATTCTTTGAAAATCTTCTTCTCTGCTCCTGGGTATTAAATAAAGGAACTAAGTACATAGTTATGATGAGCAAGAGTGCCTCTTCCAAAATTGTGAAAGTCATGGCCCCAGGGTCAGGGGTTCTGGTGTTAGGGCAGGGCTCTATAAATTATATAGTGAAAATGCATTAATTCTTCGAAAATCTTCTTCTTTGCTCCTGGGTATTTAATAAAGTAACTAAGTACGTAGTTATGATGAGGAGGTGGGCCTCTTCCAGAATTGTGAATTTCATGGCCCCAGGGTCAGGGGTTCTGGTGTTAGGGCGGGGCTCTATTGATTATATAGTGAAAATGCATTGATTCTTTGAAAAACTTCTCTGCTACTGGAGATTATTTAAACAAACTAAGTGCATGATTATGATAGACAAGGATGCCTCTTCCAAAATTTTTAAATATATGGCCTCAGTTTTTGGGGTTCTTGAGGAGGGGGGGGGGGGGGGCTAGGGCAACAATGCTTCATCTATCAGTGTATTTAACTTCTAAATTGTTGTATTATACTCAGGTGACCGTTAAGGCCCTTGGGCCTCTTGTTCATTTTAAAATTTATTTTACATATTATGTTATTGTTGTTCTGACAAAACTGAATCTTCAGCTTTTCATATGTAAATTATTCCAGCTTAGATAAGTTCATGTTAAAAGTAAAACTTCATGTTCAGGCAAGAGAGATCCACAGAAGAATCCTTTGAGATATTTTTCTTTTAATTTCAAGTTGGTCTTACATCATTGACTTCAGCAAACATTGATTTATTGATGTTTTTTTCTTTTGCAACTCATAAGAACTTAAGTAAAGGGGATCTATTACTGTACTGGTGCAAAAATGATATATAGGTTTCATCAATATGAAAGTGTAAAGATAATATGAAGTTTGTTAAATAATGTTTTTTTTCACATGTAAAGAAAGTATATTAAAATTTGAATTTAAATATACTGATGTTTGACAACTCAAAATATTTGTCAAGGTGTTTCGTTGTTATTTGTTTTTTTAAAAAAAGAAAAATTGCTATTTTGGTCCTTTTTCTTTTTACTTGTAGTGCATGAAAATTGAAATTGCGAAACTTTTTTTTTCTCCTTGTTGTATGCTTGCAATTAAGAAATTTGAATGCTGTTAAGAAGTGTTTAGCTAGATGAAACAATCAATAAGGAAGTGTATTAGATTCATCATTTGATAAGTGTAACTTTAAAATGCAGATGTATTGTTACAGCAGGGAATTTCAAATTATAATTAATTCTTATATGTGCTGGAATTTCCATAGAAAATAAAACCCCAGCTTCTGTTTTAAACTTAGGTAGAGAAAAAATTCTTTACAAGCCTGCACGTAAGACAAAATTTGTTAGCAATGTTTTTGTTAAGACTAAACTTAACATATTTTAAGTTCTTTTTAACCAGTGTTTTATGTTAATTAACCTATTATTTTATCCCTTTGTAAACAGAATATTTAGGAGAACTGCGTAACACATTATGCACATGTATACTCTTTATAAATGACAGTACTAGTAAATATATATATCAGATAAAAAGTAAACACCTTTATCTGTATTTATTGGACAGGTATACTGTACTTTTCCCCATCTGTACTATGAAAGGAAAAGACTATTTTTTTCCAGCAGCGTAAAAATATATAGTAGCACACAAATAATATATTGCATGCTATATTCTTTCAGCGACTCAAAAATGTGTCACGGAAAACACAGGAAAATCTTGTAAGATAATTATCATGATAACTGTTAATAGCTAAATTGGGTGTTGTTTATTCAGCTAACAAGGCTCAGAATCTGTTATCTGGATGTATGCTAATATATATCAGATACATAATCATTTCCATTACACAACATGGGGGGGAATTCATAACAGACATCACCTTATCAACATCACTCTCTCTGTTTGTCTGTCTGTTAACACTGGCATTCACTAGTGATCATTGAAATAGGAGTACACATACTGTGGTACACCAATCTATTGTGTTTTTAGAATTGAGGCTCATCTGTGAAGTTCAGACTTTAATTTAGCCAATTCATCACACTGTTTACCTAATTTGTGCTTTGGTTCATTCTAATTACTCACTGATCAATCTTCGAGTCTACTTGATGTGTTTATTGAATGACTGACAAATGCTGTTCTGATGATCTGATTAAGGTTTAATATTGACTCTTTTATTAAATAGTGCTTACCTTTCTCTAACTCCTACATCTCAGTAGTTAGACTTCAGACTTTAAAATAAGTAATATGCTGGGGATTTAGACTTTAAAATCATTACAGGGTGGACACAAGCTGAGTGAAAGTTTTTAAGGGGGGGGGGGGGGGGTTACATGGCATGTATTTTAAAAGCAAATCTTGATTTTGAAATTCACGACAGAATATATTCTGTGTCTGCCTTTGTTGATTTTTGATTTAGAGAACATTGAGTGATCAGTACAAGGCTGCTATTTTCAATAGGTGGTATATATATGGTATCTAAATTTGCTTTAATTTTATCCCCCCCCCAAAAAAAAGATATATATATATATATATTTAAAAAAAATAGATTTGTGCAGAGATTGAAGCTGAGCTAACTCTGTGAGGCCTTAGATAATAGCTCTGTATTTTATAAGCTGTTGTGTTCATCATACTATATCAGATTATATGTGCAGCAACTGATCCCCCTCACACCCCCATACATACTCCATACACAGTAAATATTTAGGTCAAATTATACTCAGTATTCTCTGAAACAGATGTGTATGCATATTTGCATATTTTACTGGTATATGTTAAGTAAAAGATCTTTCTCCTTCTTTAGAAGGTTTCCCCCAAATATTGAACTCGGTTTTGTCAGTTTTTAGATACGGACAAGTACATTATAAATTTCATTTTGAGTTTGTAGATAGGCACAAGTGCTTTATAAATTTCATTTTGACGAAAACGTAAACATCACATTGACATCTATTAAAGATGCCTCAATAAATTTCTTTTCTTTTACATGTCTGGCCAAAATTCCTAGTTACATCCGCGCTCACAGTAAGATACATGTTGTCGGCTTATTTGCTTTTTATTTCCTGGGCACACTTGTTTACATGAATATCAGCTAGATTATCCTCATGATTAAATGTGAAATGTTTCATTTTTGCATGCACATAAATCTTAAGTGAACACTTATAATCACTACGGAATGATGTAGTAAGTTTCTAGATAATTACAGTACGTGTATTTATATTCTAATTAATTTATGTAAGAAGCGGGTGCTTCACATGATAGCAATATAATAGTAGTCATTTATGTATGTACACAGAACATGATAAAGATGATATAACTGCATTGTTCATGACTTAGTTACATATGCTTATATTAACTTCAACACCATATATAGAACCCCCCATTGTCTTGCAGTGTTTTCTAAGAGATATCATACAATTGATCTGCATGTATCAGGCCCGTATGAAGCAATTTCAGTTGGAAGGGGGGGGGGGGGCACAAGCATAGATTTTTCAGTTGGAGGGGGGGGGGGCACTATCAACTACCAAAATATTCCATGACAGCAAATAAAAAAAAGGTCATAAGACATTATTATTGAGGGGCCACAAGCATATAGTAGCTATGTCATGTATACTATTCTATATATTGGCAAAATTATCGGGGGCAACCCCCCTCCTCCCCTTGTACCAACTCCCATGTGTATAAAATAATAAAAAAACACTATTTATTTACCCAGTTTAAATACCCAAAGAATGAAATTATTGATATTAAGATATTGTATTCTAATGTGCAAAAATTTAAATCTTTTTAAATTTTTAATAAATATCATATTGTGTTCTAATGATTTTAAATTGATTTTAGATCGAAGATAAAATAAAACATGAAAGAGGGATAAGTTTTCTGTACATATATATCTATGTTTTGTAATGTACAAGAATTTTCTCAATATGAATCATTTAACATGTATAAAGAAAATTTTTCATCAAATATTTGTTTATCATTGCTACATGAATACAAAGTACTGCTACATGTACTTTTATTTTCTGATTTGTAAATTAATATATTGCTAAACATCTGCACAGTATTAACTACATGATGAAATCTGTGGAGGGATTCTTTTCTCCAAAAGGACATATTTATGTCAATAAGGACACATCTGTTTCTCACAAATAAAAAGAGGATATAGATACAGGAAAGGACGGATACTAAGTCTGAGTGTTAGGTGGTCTCTAGAGTTAATGCATCTAATCCGGAAGTCATCAACTCGTGTTGTTTTTTGTTGACTGTCCTTGTCGATTAGACACTTAGTTTAGAATTCATAGGGGAAAAAATTTCTTCAGTATGAAAATTATAATTAAAATATTTTTACTTTGGTTTTTGCTTAGAAATTTACTGATAATTACTAAATTTCACTGAGAATAGCTAATGCATACAGAGTTTTCTATAGTCAAGAGGTTAAGCTTAGGTCACCTCGTTACTCAAGAACACCTATATGTCCAAACTATTGATCAAAATGCCCTAATATATTTTTTTCATTGACCATCACTGGGGAATATACCAACATATATAAATGTATTATAATCACATACTGCAGATTACAAGTTTACATACCTGGTATTTGTACATGTATATGATACAGTGGCTTGTATTACCTTTTTTACCCAAACGGAGAGCATGTTGTTGCAATGCCCAGAGATGGAACTTTGGTGAAATAAAACCAATAAAAAAGATGAATGTACATTTACGTGCCAAAATGTATCTAGTAAACATGTAGCTAAATCTTATTTTTGATTTTGAATATGCAGTGTATATACATGTACATACAAATATTTATTCAGATCAGTTATTTTTTATTTTTAGATTATTGTAAATATTGTGTTGTAACTGATTGTTGTACTAACAACCAAAATTTCCTTTTCATACAACTGACTGATTGTATTTATTTTAGGTCTTCATTGAATTTTTGCATTGAGATGATTTAAATTGAATTATGTGTAACTAATTATTAAATATTCTTTGAAAAGGAAAAGTTTACTAATAATTATTGTTAGTATTGTTTTATAATTATTGCAATATAAGACTAAATTGACAGATATTTAAAATTAATAACTTTTTTAAAATAAGCTTAATAAAAATTTATTTTGTATTTTTCAGCATCTTCAGCAAATGATGAACTAGAGTTTGTTAAAATGTATTCCAATTCCTCTCCCTCCAGACGTCGATATCAAAGTAATGACAATATGACTCTATCGTACGACAACCACGGTAGTGAATTCCCCACGCTTGACCGACCACCGAGTTACGAGACCAGCATGAGAGAGAGCACCACTGTTAATGACATTTACGGTGCCGATCGACGCAGTGTTCGAAGTTTACGCAGTGTCAGAAGCAAAGCTAGTAATAAATCGAAAACAAAAAGTGAAAGACGAGAAGAACTACCCTGGGTGCAGATTACGCCGTCATCAAACAACATTGATCAGCCATTCCGACATTACCCCTAGATACTCTGTAGATGCTGGAAATCACTGGTTCTGTGTTCAGTCCATTGATGCATGTATTTTGTAGTATTTGTAATTCTATACTATCATTTTAGGTACATTAATGTGAATCCATATGGAAAATTATATTACATGAATGCATGTGTGAAGAAGTTTGGTGATAATGCACACAGATTGGATGAAAATTGGCTGTCAGACTGAAATAGCTCTTGTATTTTGTACCCAATAATGATACTTGCATGTTCATGTTTTATGTGAAATGGATATTGTGAATTGCATTTGGGACTTAAATTTAAATTATATCGGATATTTAAAGTCATAAGAGTAATAGAAATCTATAATACGAACGACTGTTAGCAATATAGTCCCTGTGGGTTCTGTAAGAGTTTTCCCACCTATTTTAAAATTGTACTGTGGGGAAACATTTTGATTGTACTTTACAGTTCATTGACCTGTGGAGGGTTGGAATTCAATATGGAAACAATCTTTATTGGTCAGATATACGATATGTACATAGAGTCAAATATTTCTGTAACTTATTATTTTAGCTTTTTTTTTGCTATCGTCAGACATCCGCATCCTGTTATGGGGAGGCAACTCTTAATGGTGCAATTGAAAAACGCAGTCTTCATTATCATCAGTGAACACTTGGAATCAATTTACCATTTGTGAATAAACTCTTGCTTCAAGATGTCACTAAGTGTGTAGCATTATAGTTCAAAATATATAAAGACAAATTTGATACAGCTATGTACCAGTATATTGTTTTGTTCTTTGTTCAAATGGTCTATTTTTAGAGTTCTCAAGTTGATGTTTTGCAAATGTTTCTCCCTTTATATTTGTACATGTACACATACATGTTTAAAATAGATCTGAATGTTTGATGTTAAGAAATGCCAGAAGCTGAATTTTAAGAAAATGAATGTTTTTCTTCAAATTCTTGAAAGAAAATTTAAAAAATCAAGGCAGATTTTAAGAAAATGAAGAAAAAACTACAAACTGATGGAGTGTAAAAATGAAAGTGTTTAGCTCGTACTTAATTCTTAAGATTTTAACAATTATTTCAGCAGTGCCATGTAGAGATTGTGATAAAAGTGACTGGTAGTGTGTGTGGTTTGTAGATTTTTTTTTAAATTAAGAACAAAATGTATTTGGAATGATTGTGAATGTGTGTTTGTTTGTGTTTGTGTGTGCCTATTCATTATGTTCACTGATCAAAAATATGAACTTGTGTATATAATTAGGTTTATTAAGAGATTTACTTAGATTCTAATTTGTCCACTTGTCATCTAGCTTTAAGAGGAAAGTAAAACTTGCCTGCAAATATGCCTTGTGTATACTGATTGCAGGGTTAGTTTTGCCCTATGCTTCTTTAGCCCGCTAACACTTGCAAACAATTATGCCCCATTTTAAATTTGTTCAAACTTAGTTGGGTAAAAAGAGATAATGTTGTCTTTTTGAATTCACCCTGTTTTAAATTCACCTTGCAATAAGGGCAAAAGGGGCAAAAATAATTTACCTGCATACAGTAAATATTTGCAAGAAAATACCAGTGTATGCATATGTACTACAATGTAGTTTTTTTTCTGGTTAAACAGGGTTTGTTTATAAACTGGCAGGATGTCTATTAGCAATTTTACAAGAGAAGTCAGGATATTATGTCATTCCTGATTTAAAAAAAAAAAGATTGAAATATTATTTACTCTGTGAATATATAAACTTCCGTTGAATAAAATATTATCTAGCTGCATCAGCAGATAAACATTGCAGATACATAGCTTGTATTTTGGAGAAGTGTCATGTGCATCTACCTCCATTTTTATTTATTAGACAGTTGTCTTTTATTTAAATATAATATGTGAAAGAGTAAATATGTACCCAGTTTCTGATTTTAATCATGAAAGCATGTCAATATGGGTCCAATTTCATTATCATATTTTCATTTTTTTTTTTTTTTTTTTTGGTTTAATTAAAACTTTTCTGGTTTCTTTCTTGAATGGTTTGATGAACAGTTTGACAATGATGCTAAATCATTAATAATTTTACTTAGTTCAAATTCAAGCTTTTTCCTCTTTTTGGACCAATTAGGTCTGCATACAGCTAGTTTTAAACTGTGTTCCTTGTTTAATAATGCTTTAAGTATTATGATAGTGCTAATTATGCACATTTCTGTAGATTTATTATTGGTCAATTATGTGTTTGTTAAAATAAACACGGATTTTATCATAATTGGTACAACATATTTTTTCAGTGTTTTGATTCAAGAAAAGTGGTGAAAAATACTGATAGACATCAAGTTCCATGTTTAATGTGTCACATCAAGAGTTATCGCTCTTGCATTAATGCTGAAAATTTGCTACACTCTGGTAATTTGGTATCCACTAATACATGTTTTATGTGTATAATGGTACTGTTTTAAAATTTCCCTAGGCATAATTCCTCTAATTTGAGAAGAAAAATTGTTCCAGTATGCATATACCTGTCTAAACAACAAAATAGTTACAGCACTTGATATCATGAGCTGAAGGAATACATTTTCTTTGCAATTTGTTTCCGTGCTATCTATCTTCATTCACTGATGGTATATTATAGACATGTATATATTGATGTATATATTCATAAAATGCACACGCTTTCCCCGGATTTGCTCTTATTGAACTAAAATGAATTTTACAATTTCCTTTCCTGTCCTCTTTTGGATTCGGAGGATAACCGCTTGTCCTCTCTGATTACAAGCTGTCTCAGACCAGATGTTGAGGAATGTTATATTTCAGATAAAAATTAATATTCCTGTTTCTTTAAATCTCATTGGGTCGGAGGTCATAATTATGCATCAGTGCTTAGGTTGTAGCATGAAATAGTGTGGAAGAAATATACTCTTGGCTCCCGACTTACCCTTTGAAGACATGTTTTCTTTAATATCAATGAATCCAATGATATTTAGTTGATTCCATCACAAACTGTCTTTGAGATATTAATTTGTTCGCCATAACCTTTTAACTCTGACGAGACACGTTTAAGTTTTGGTCAACGAGCTGTCTATATCGTATTATAAGCGATATGCGTCTTGCGATTTTCTAGAAGTGATGAACATGTCCAGTTTCTGTAAACTGCTCAACCAACTGTAATCAGTTATGATACGTGATATCTGAGGTTCCAATCAGTGGAAAAGGACCACATTTGTGTGTCTTTTCCTATGTCCTTCTGTCTGTCCGTCTTTGGAAATTTTAACTGGATGACTACTTCGAAACAGAGAAAAAGAGACACACTTAAACTTATTAACATGAAGTTGATAGTTCCATGATGGTGTGTCACGACTATGATTCAAGGTCATTTAGCATCTTTATTGATGGGGAAGTTCTTTTCTAACGTATAACTCGATAACAAGGAAACAATGAAAGGGAATTCTGTAAAAATGTTCAGAAATTCTTGGAAAATTGATGAAATTTTCAGTGACTACTAGTATTTGAAATATTGTCATCAATAATAACTACAATCTTTCAGATAGATAATCACCTGCCGGAAAGGGAAATAAATAAATCTTATTTTGCTCTCGGTGGTATTGGAGCTCCTCATCTTAACCTATTAACTCAATTTTTTTACAAATCAGTTCACAAATGATTTACATCACTTGGATGTATTCCAAAATTTAGTGGTCAAAAATACCCCTAATCTCCCAAAAAGAACAAAGTCTGTCACTTGTGAAAGTCTTTTTGAAGTTCCTCCAATACAAGTGTAAAGGGAAAGGAGAAAATGTATGTCTGGACCGGGAATCGAACCCGGGACCCCTGCATCACTAGTCAGGTGCTCTACCGACTGAGTTACCCAGGGTGATATCCACGGCCCAAACCATTACATTCCTCCCTCCTGAAATTGTCTTCGCCCTCGAAGACACAATCCAAGTTCTTATTAGCCCCTGGCAGGACTTTCACCTGCAAGTCCAGGGGTGGTCAACGGCACCAAATGTTACGGGAGAGGAGAAAAATGCAGCGGAACCGCGGGATTCGAACGCGGGCCCCCTGAATCTCCAGTCAGGTGCTCTACCAACAGAGCTATCTGGCCACCGGCGATCGAACCCGTCTGACCCCCAAACAAGTGTCGTTTACTGACTTTTATTTGAAAATTGAAATAAGTACACTATAGTCGTGCACTTATTTTAATTTTCAAATAAAAATCAGTAAATGACACAAGCTAAGATTGGAAGCTGTTATTTCTTGGACCACTGTGTTGCTTGGAATGCAAAACTTTTTGAAAGAATAAATGTCACATACTAACAGATAGGTTTTATGCTAGCTGCAGATCTGTAGCTCGCTGTTCTGAAAAAAAAACTGGAATCGTCCATCCCAATTTTTTCAGACCAGCGAGCTACAGATCTGCAGCTAGTTTTATGCCGGATAATTTGAATTTATTAGGGTCTTTGTGAACATAAGAGATAGTGGTTCTCTGTCGGTTTATTTCCCTCAAGATCAGCGTAAAAATGAATTGTAAGATCTGCAACTTTTCAACTTAATAAGCTCCAGAAAGACATTAAATTGATATTTCAGGAGATGCAGGATTTGCCCGTGTTTGTATCACATTTTAGAATGATAACCCAGCGTAGCTTTGTCAGTTACCTTCGAACTGTTACGAGATCTCTCTGTGCAAATTAATATGCAAGTTAATTAATTAATTAATATCCAAGAGAAACCACTGGAATTTTCTCTTATGTTGATTTCTGTATAACCATTTTTCGCCGCTCATGCCGTACATGTTACATTCGATGTACGTGATCAATGGCGAGCGGATACAGTATATGTATAAACAACTACTTGAACTTTGTGTCCTAACGGATGACGATCTTCACCTGATTTTGCTAGGTCTCTAACCGAACACTATTCTATGAAACTTCCGCTTCCGGAACTTTCAGCTCCGCTACTTTCGCCGCAGTGTCTGTGCATGCTGTTAGCGCATTCTTTCGACATTTCAAGTCAAATGTGTCTGTGAGGAATGCTCAAACAAACTCGCGTTTTGTAGTTTGTGTGTGTGAGGGTGTGTGTGTCATCCCATACCTTTTCTTTACAATTTTTCTGAAAGCGCGGGACATTAAATCTCATTCGTCTGCCTGTCCCTCCGTCCACCCACCTGTTAGTCTATCACAAAAAAAACTTTAATCATTTGTCATACCTTCTGAATACAGAAAGAAGGGCTGTCATATTTCATATGTACATTTAATACCTGTGACAATACTCTTCCGAATATACTATTATTTTGGACCTGAGACCTAGACATTGAAGTTTGACCTACTTTTCAAATATGTTAAAATTGGTCATAACCTTTGAACGAGAGAAAACAGTTCTTTAGTATTTCAAATGTACATTACCATTATTTTTTTTCTACCTCATGACCTTGACCTTGAAGTTTGACATCCAAAAATTTTTACTTTGGCGACATGAAGATTTAGGGCTTTTATATTTTAAAATGTGCATTACCTGTCCTAAATATAGGATGATTTTACCTCATAAAATTGACCTTGAAGTCTTACCTTCTAGTCAGAAAGTTTATAACCTTGGCCATAAAGAACTATGCACGCCAAGTCTCGATTCCCGCCTATATTTTACACCCATTTAATACAATACTAATGGCAATTTGGCCGTAAAATCTTTGTTGATTGCAAAGAACAGTTCAATGGTAATTGACTGATAATTCTAATTCCAGTGTTAAATAGTTAATTACCCCTAATTCCAGCTCTTTAAATAAGGGGGGTAGGCGATATTTTTCATTGAAATCGGGCTTTAAAGTATCACCACATTTAAAATATTCTTGGATATGAACAGATGTTCCTTAAATCTATTTTTATGTTTTTCTCATATAAAATTAAACATATATTATTTATAAGATACAATGTTTTAGTTGTAAACCTCTTTGACATTGTTTAAAAAATAAAAAATAAGCATTTTAAATGTAGTTTTTTGGTCTGTAAACTGTAAACATATGTCCCCCCCCCCCCCCCGTGAAACACAAAAAGCTTTGGTATGGATTTGTGAAATGACAGTCCATATTACCTGTAAAAAGGAATTTTTGTTTCATGGGGGCGGGGGGGGGGGGAGGAGAGAGAGAGAGATGTTTTAAAAATATTTTCCGTTTTCCGTTGATTTCTATGGTGAAAAACACAAGTTTTACCAAAATTATAGAGTTATCTCTCTTTGTTTTCCCAAAGAAACAATGATTTACGAAAAATCATATAAATATCTATATAGAAATGAAAAATCATTCAAATGTGTTAACTTTTGAAAACTGACTTAGATAGGCGGGAGAACAATACACCAGAAAAGACGGGACTTTCATATTTTTTCACATATGCAGTACTTGTGACAAAACTTTGCGGCATGTACTGTATCATAATATTTGACTTCATGACCTAGACCTCAAAGTTTCAAATTTCAAAAACTTCACTGAGCTTTACAGTAACTTTTGCACCAGAAGTTACATGTGTATGGCTTCGAAATGTAGAACACTTTTTGCATGGTGGACGGACAAAACAGTTCAATATGCCAAAAATCACTGCAACAAAACCAATAAGACCCCGAAAGCGTTGCACCACAATTCTTTGAATTGGCTAGATTTTTTTTCATTTATGAGAGCATTCATAATTGTATGTTTGTGATTATTACAGCTATTAGCTGGTAGTTTCAACCTGTGTAAATATATATATATATATATATATATATATATATATATATATATATATATATAGGTACGTATGTGCGTGTGTGTGTGTGTGTTTATGTACACGTATATTGTTTGATATTCCTATGTATGTATTTTGTACGATATTCAATAATCAATTCAAAGTGGAAATAAAGTATGATTGAATAATTAGTGCCATGAAGGTGCGTCAAAGATCTAAATAATTCAAGGTCATTGGACAGGTTCATTGATGGAGAACTTTTTTTAGTTACAGCTTGGTAACAGGGATTGTCATGGTCGTAAAAATGTTTTGAGTTTTAGATTCTTGGAAAATACATGAAATTTTCAATAACCTTTTATATCTGGAATAAACGTACAACTCTCAAAACATGTTTTTATCTGTTGTTTGGTATCAACGTTACATTAAGAAACAAAAAAATCGGTAATCATCAATGTTCATCGATTTTGAAATAATTCCTATCTTGCATTACATACATGTAGTATATAATGAATGAAATGATATGAAAAGTCAATAACTCAATTTACTACATCAACATCAAATTATTTCAACACATGTAATTTATTTATGATAATTTGAAAATCTAAAACACATAATAATCATGGTCCTGAATTATTAAAAATATTGTAGGAATGGACCGGAAATTTAAGTTTCAGAGTGCAGAACTTTGATGTTCATATTTTCCCATCTGGCTCAAAGCACCTCTTCATGATTTGCCTGTTTAAAAAAAAATTATAGATTTCCGAGATGATCTTAATCCCCGATGTGTTTTATTGTATTCTTCGATCAGACGTCAGTTGCTTACTATTTAAATATTGATCCATAGATGCCATACCCTGTATTAATATTGATCGGCGATCAGTTAATATCAATTTGTATAACCTTCAATCTACGAGAGTAATTGAAACCTATGGAACTATTTATAAACAGCTAGAAAATACGAACCAATGAACTGTAATATTGCCAAGAGGTTACTCAGTCTTCAAACCGAAGTAAAGTATATGAATAGGCAGCGCGCCATTTCGGAATGTTCTAATATGGCTTAATTTAAATCAGCATAGTTCAGTGTCCAAGTGAATGTCGGTGCTTCACCATTAGGAGAAAATGTGACCGAGTCATTAAATGTATTTTTAATTATTTTTTAATTTTGGAATTATGTGTTTTAGTGAAGGTAATAATTAATATAAATTTTGTGGAATATGGGTTCAGGTGGAAGTACAGAGGCGGTGAAACAACCTGAGAAGGGGGGATCCGTACAACGAAATGAACCCAGGCGGGACGTAGGAGGCGAGGGACAGAATAACCTCAGGGTAAGGAGTGACTCCCCTGTGAATAATAACACTCCTCGGAATGCCAAAACAAAATTCATCGTCAAAAAAGACGATAGTGTCGACCTAACGAACGATCTAAACTTGGACTCCTATTGGAATAATGACTCCAAAGCGTTCTCAAACAATAATCAGGAGAAGCAATATAATGATTATAACAGCAAACAGAAAAATTCCTTGCCACCCCGACTCCCCAGCCCTCCTGTGGAGGACCTTCCAGAGACTTACGCTCAGAGGGGATTTAGGGAACAGTACCGACCTAATGACCTCCTCCGCCAGAAGACGATCTATAGGGACCCGGAAGAGTGGGAGCTCCCGGAAAAAGTAAGTGTTCGAATCCAACCCATTGTTAGTATGACAGAATTGATAAGGTCAATGAATATTTTGTATCAGGATGCTTATAAGTTATGTTACTGGTTAAAGAGTGTTTTGACAGCAGAGATAGAATGAAAAGAATAATTAAAAGGTTTAATGGTCAAATCGAGAACATATTTGAGGTGAATCTATCTGAAAATCCAAGTTTGGTTAAAGAGTCTGTGCTGCTCGGGAGGTCAATGAGAAAGTTCTTTATCCTTGCCCAAGGAAGCTCTTACCTATTTGACAATTTCTTATTTTAAAATTTCTTTTATTTCTCAATACCATTGTTGTGTTTTATCTATGCACAAACGAGGCCCTGGCATTTTAATTCTCTAAGCAACTTGTTGTATCAAGAAAGAATTTCCCCGTACAATCGTAAAATGCATGTAATAAAGCCCTTAAAAGCAATATAATGACCACTCTATTCTTTTGAGAGTGTACATTAAAATGAAGTTCTATGTTATTTTAAAATGAGCCAAAGGTTCTTAAGAGTTATCAAAGGCAAGCTTTTCAATAACAAAATATTCCATTTTAAGAGAAGCGTGTATAGGTTATTAAATGCCTAAATTATTTATTGGCATACCGTAATCTTATTTACCCAAGTAACCAGAACAATACAGCGTGACCATTTATAATTCTCCACTATATGTAATTCGTAAGGAACCTAGTCACCTGTTTTTTAATCTTTGTAAAACCTACGTCGGTGTTCCCACTACGAAGATATACAAACAATAAACAAACACGCCCTGTGCTTAATTAAATTAAAAAGACGCAACTTGTTATCTACGATTCTATGTACCGAACCCTTTAAAATCTGTAAATAAACATTAATCACGAGAAGCCATTTCTGGACCAAAATTCAGAGACAATTTAGACCCAGCCACCAGGGTGGACTGGCCTCTTTGGGGAAGAAATTAAGTAGAACGATTTAAACATTAAAGTCAACACAGGGCCCTAAAGACCCTAGCCTATTTGACATCGAGGACCAAAAATCAAATATTTTCACACGTTGTAAGTTTCTGGGTATCTGGCCTCTTTCAGACAATTCAAACATTCGTAATCTTCAACACAGATACGGAATACAGTTTCCTGACCTTACATTTCAGACAAGTTTCTAAAAAGGGTCATGTGTAAGTGAAGACAACCTTAATACAATCCCCGTATTAACATCTTCTGAGCTCAGCTTTGAGATAGATACTGCATGTGATACCTATGTATAATTCAAAGATTACGTTTTTTTTTTTAAATACACGTATGATCAATCCAGGTTTTCAATCATCTAAAATAATGATTTTAAAGTTTGCATAACTAGCCAATCCAGATTTTCTTAATGAATCCGTCTATATAATTTTTTGGACTGTAAATTTGTAGAAATATTGCAGCGGAATTTAGAGGAGGTAATGAAAGTACGTGTAAAATCCATACATAACAATTAAAAATGAATAGAAAAGGAACATGTTAGTGTCAATAATATATAATTTAAATATATAGCTAAGGTCTTTGATATTTTCACGTATGTAGATCAAAGGTCTGATTTTAAGTGGAATTTAGCGTGAGCTATGAATGATAAAAGGTTTCTGTTCAGTTTCTCTGTTTTTGGGGAGAGGTTTATTATAATATACACCTATTTACTGGTTATGAGGACAATAGCAAGTTTATTGACAGAGGCCAAGGCGCAGCCTCGGGAAATAGTTGCTGTCGAGGGGGACAATAAATTTGCCATTGTCCTCGTGGCCAATTAATATATACAGTGTATATTTTTTAATACCGATGCAGACTTTACTTGTATCACGTCACGATCCGAATATGGAGTCCTGAGATGAAAGAATGCTGCCAGTGAATAGTTCGATGACTATTTCATCATAGGCAAGTAACACAAAAAATATTCCACGGTAGTAGCTGTTTATAAAAAACAAAACAAAACTCAGGTTTATTTTATATAGAAAAAAAATAACAGGAATATAATAATCCTATGACAGAATTCTAAGTTCATATTTTCATGAACTACAATCGGTACATTGCACTCAGATGGCCTATAAGACAAAATGAAGAAATAAAACCCTAGGCAATTAAATAAATAAACAGATAAATAAATAAATTAATTAATTAATTTTTTAAAAAGAAAGAAAGAAATAAGTAGTTTGAATGTTATTGTAAGTAGTGTTTTTCAGGTTCTATAGGTTTATAAAAATGTGACCTGAACCCCCCCAGCTTTTATGGATTTAGTTTCACTTGGCCCCGACTTTTAGTCTTTTGCAGTATACCCCGTCTCCGTGGTTCAAAATATAGATTAATCCTAAGTACTTCACTGAGACACTGGCTCGTTAGTAGCAGTCGTTTCCTCGTCAGGATTAATAAAACGACACATCAGTATAAACGATATATTACTTAAACGATACATCAAAATAAAACGATACAATTGATTGTTTAGACATGGCCATTATGAATGTCAAACCTGCATTGTTGATCTTGAAAATACAATAAACTGTTAATAGCAAACTTCTCTGGAATTTATTTGCCAATTTGTTATTCATTATTGCTGATTGACTTTCCCGTATGTAAGAGGAAATGTAACTTTGTCATTTTCAATTGCTCCGCCTCGCAGATAAGGTCGAATCTCATTGATTTTTTTCCTTTATTTTTTGATTTTTGTCTGATTGATTTTTTTTTCATATAGGTGTTTAAATGATCGAGTATTATTCTCCAATTGAACAATTTGCACATGCACAAAGGCTTCTCAATTTTTAAACCCGCATTGCTTCAGACAGGTTTTTTAAACAAACTGAACGTGAAAAAAGTAGTTTTACGTCAACAAATGCATAATGTGCATTAAAATTTAATTATCTAGTTGTATGAGTTGTTTGGGTAAACTCCTATTAGGCCAATTAAAAATAAATAAACCATGTCTCATTGGACACAAGAATCTCTCTGGCGTAGATTAGCTAGCGAGTGTGTGTACACTGTCTAAGACATGTAAATCAAACTTCTGGTATGCTTTTATAAGCACTTTTTATAAAAGATTGTTTGGACTGTCATATTGTCAATTTTGAATTTACATATACCGCATGGCAGTAAATACAAAATTTACAATATGACATGATCAATAAACGTTTTAGCTTTCCTCTATGCTTATCTTCTGCACCGTCCATTTCATGCCGTCTATTATTTCTTTCTTTTTTGGACACATTTTCTAAAAGTCTTCAATTTTTTTTATTTGCTTTAATATGATTTTTTTTTTGCTTAAACACATTCTATAAATACGAAAAATAAAGATTTTGTAATTGAGCAATGATACTGATGATTGTGTGTTTGTATGACTCCTTTTGAGGAATGTTTGACTGAATTTACTTATCTCGCCTTCGGTAATAATTACTTTAATTTTGTATCAATGCACCAGAAAAGGTTATTTCGTTTAAACAAATACCATTAGTTTTCATAAATTGAATTGTTTTCCGTTCTTTACCAGAGGAGTACAACACAATAAAGGGCTCTCCATGTATGGAGTTGGTTACGGACTTGCTTATGTTGTTCAAAAATTTCGTGTTAGGTAAACCGAGTTTCAAAATTCTGATGGTTAGAAAATTAATTTCAAAATTCTTTGTGAATCTATTCATATTTCATATGAAATTTTATCAGGGTTGGTATGGAAATCAAGTAGAATACAAAAAAAAATGTTAACAGTAATCCCGATCCTTTGAGTAAGGGAACGCCAAAAGACCATCAAAATATAAAGAGAAAAGATATTTACATGTATTAACTGATCCAACATTTCTAAGATTGGTTAATGAATATCTAACGATTGTAATTTCTAAGTGCATGGTCGTAGGAACCCGGGGGGGGCAATAAATAATTTTGCCGATATATAGATTACTATAGAAAACATAGATACTTTATTATGTTTGTGCCCCCTCAATCAAAACTCCTGATGACTTTTTTTTTTTTTTTTGCTTGTCAAGAATTTTTTAGTAGTTGATAGTGCCCCCTCAAACTGAAAATGTATGGCGGTCCCCCCTCCCCCAAAACTGAAATTGCTTCCTACGGGCCTGAAGTGCACCAATATAATGATATATTAACAGGTTCTTGGCATTTGCACATATGGAAAGAACAATCATCATACATTTTGTTAATTAATTATTGATGCCAGAGTTCCTCAGTGTAGTCTAACGTCTTCAGATTTTCCATCATGTTTCATCTGCCTGTAGGAAACAAATATGGTATCGTGTACCTTTGGAATAATATATCGATTAGTGGACGATACCTGTATTTTTATTAGTTCGCTTTGTCTGCATATGGCAATAAAGTCAATTTTCATTGTTTCAGACAGAAAAAAAATTGATCTATTTCCGAGCATTCAGATCAATTCAAAGTGACCATTGGCCATGGGAAACAATCAGGATTATCAAATATAATGATTATCTATGCAAGTTGGAAAATCATTCTCCCAGGATGGATATTTTTCCATCAAAGAGTTGAATTCTTATTTAGAAAATCGAATTAATCACCTGAAGATTTCAAGATTACTGTGATACTAAAAATCTGATATCTCCAAACAATTCTGGGTGACAGGCTGATCAATACTTTAAGCAGTGTGCATTAAGGGTGGGTAATCAGCAATAGGTTGTTCTGGTCTAAGGAGTTTGTTTTCTTTCTTTTATGAGTGATTTATAGAGAATAAAAAGTTTTGGTCGATAGCAAGATAGTGCTAATAAAAGAAATAACTGCAAGTCATAATGAAAAGGCAGTTTTTACGAAATGAATTCAGATCACTGGGGAGGGGGGGGGGGGTTAAGGGGATGCACCCCCTGGCCAATGCAAAAATATATAGATATGCTGGTAAAAACTAGTAATCTCTACATTGTTGGCTAATAACACAGTTTCAACCAAAATTAACTAAAGACGTACATTGTGTGGAGCAGAAAATTGCTGATGTCGACATATACCAGGTAAATTTTGCTCTTGGGACTGTG